ACTAAAGGTTTCAAAATCAGTTGTTTTTTTTTGTCTGATCCCCTCAAATAACCCCATAGCAACGCCCTTAGAGACGAAAAAACTTGACAGCCCTTGGTGACGTCAGAGTGGGTACGTTTCAACGCTGTAAGTTGTTTACAATTTCGTATTCGTTCTTTTTTCGCGGATATTCAAGATGACAAGGCCGTGTACAGCGAGTCTGACATAAATACTAGACTGTAACTCTTCGTCGGCACTGAGATAGTCCAGTGGTTGTGTCGATGGACTGCCAATCCAAATACTTGGGTTCAAATCCCACCTCGGGCACTTTTTCACTCTCAAACGGCAATTTATGTGTAGTGAGCAATTGTCACCTGTAGAGGGCAGTATTGTGTTGGGCATCAGTGGAGAGAAGAGAGAAAAGGCAGTCCTGTGGCATAGATCCATGGTTTTCAATGCATGGGCGTAACCCGCTATGACGTCACACACAGGTTAGAGCATAGACAACTTATATTCATGAAAAACACGTTCTTTTTATAAAATGTAGGATTTTTTTTGCCAGAATCTATTTCAGATCGACATTGTCATGCAATTTTGATATCCACAATTTTTTTTTTTTTTTTTACTTGGCATAAGGTCTTTAAACGCTGACACAAGGACTGCCAAAGATTGTCAGAGAGTACGATGATTCACTCTCCTGTGTATTTAATCGGCCCATATTACTGATGCGTAAAAGATGCATTATTTTAGCGGAATGTTACGAAGATGCGTCCGACACATGCACGCATTACACAAAGATAGGAGGAGACGCAGATGCAGCGCTCACAAGAGCCAGCACCGGGCTGAAGAGTGCGCATTAGTGATGTAATTATATATTTATTATTGACAGTAATAAATACAGTAAAATGATATGTGTTTATGATGTATATGAATATAAGATGTTTTTATTTATTTTTTCTCCGTTTTTTTTTTTTTACATATCTTTTAGCTGTGATACTGAAGTAATATATAGACAAACTGCTTCAGGAAGGGCATCAGGAGTACAGGGTTTTTTTCACTTGTAGAATTTTGTAAAAAATATAATCATTAAAAATATAATTAGTAAATATAGTCACAGGTTACATTTTTTTCCCCATCGTCCCCAAGACCCTAAAAAACATTTCTATACAGTGTAAAAAGTTAGCAAAAACATTTCATTGTGTTTTTCAAAACATTTTGGTGAAATTGAAATTCCGTTTCATTTTTTTCTTTGTCTTCATGATTCCATATTTTTTATATAATTCATATGACAGCTGTACACTATGAATATTATAAATCCACAGGTTGTACTGAAAAAAACAAAGTTTACTGCTTGACTCTGCATCACAAGATGAGCAATTATACACAAAGAAAACCAGGCGGGTTAAATGATAAAATTCTGGGGAAAAAAGTCTAACATTTCCACTGGTGGATTTAATTCAGCTTCATCTAAGAAGAATGAAGATAAAAAATATCACGTCTGTGTTTTAAACAATGATTGATCAATAAAAAAGTTACAGCAATAAAACAACACATCTTTTGGATTTTGTTCCGAGAAAATGTTCTTATAAACATGGAGCTGTGCAAATACATTCTGGACTTGAATTATGAGATTAATTATTAACCCATCAGAAACAGCAGAGTAAAATATATCATTAGGACTTAATTAAAATTATTAAGATTTCTGGAAACATTAGCTTGAGACGTTTTAAAACAAAAAGCCAAGATTTTATTTGAGATATGATGTTGTTATTCCACAAAATGACCCACTTCCTTTTTGTTTTGTCCTCATTAAACCGGAGGTGTGGATGTATAATGTAATTGTCTAACATATATAACCTACAAAGTCACTACAAATATAATTGGAGATATATTGTTGATAAAAAATGAATACTTTGAGACACGTTTTAATACACCAATTAATTCAAGGACCGAGCAGAGCAGTGGAAGTGCCTCCGAGAAGTATTTTTACACCCATCGTAAAAAGCTTGCCCCTGAGCAAACAGGCCTTCTGCCAGATTACTGCTACAAGCTACAAGCATTGTCATTTATATCACAACACAATAGACAAAACTCGTAACTATCGTGCTGCTGGTCTTCACTATAAAACAAAGTCCACTGAAGCCACTGAAGAACCAGGAAAACTCTCATTATCCCATCTATCCTTTCATTTTCATTCATTTTGAGGGATTTAGCCGCACTATAAAGTATTGAGGTTTTGTGCATAAAAGCATTCTGGGAAACTATGTTCATTAAGAAATAACAAACAAGTGACTAAGGAGAAAACTATGTGGACTTTTCAAAGGAAATCCATCGCTTTAATGACAAAGCACTTGTGACGTAAAGTGCTATCCACAAAGCTTTGAGTTTGGCTTCATATAAAAGATTTATTTAGTCGAGTGTGTGGCACAGACAGAACCGCTCATTGTTGTCACAGCTTGTTCCACTAAATCATAAAGGATCAGAGTCATTAAAACTTCCAAATACAAAACATCCGCTCAAACAGACAAACGGAAGTCATGGCTAAGCACTCGTCTACCTGGATCCACGGAGCACAAATGTGAGCCAGAGACTAACCACAAGTAACGCCAAATGTTAGAAGAAGAAGAAGGAAAGTCCATTCACAAAAAAGGGGTGTGTAGGTCAGGACATACAGTATACATTTATAATTGGTTGCTATATTAAATCAGGACATTTCAGGCAGCCATTTTATGATTTTAATGCTAGCTTTAAAATCGGGGCGACAGTAGCTCAGTTGGGAGAGCAGTGGCCTTTGAGCCTGGAGGTCGTGAGTTCGATTCCCACCATGGGACCTACTCCAACTGCTCCTACTGATATCTTGTGTATGAATTGTACTGTAAAAATAAACTTGCCTTGATGCATAGTTTAACCAATCTCAATGAAAGCCAGATTATTCAATTCAGTGCCACTCGGTACCAGTCTGATCTGTGGAGACATTGGTACGGCTGTTTGCTCTGAGGAGTGAGGCTCATTGCTGTGATTAGATGTGTATTTTTACGTGATGTGTTAAAAAATAAGTTTGATGATGATTATATATGCCATGAAGTGGAAATGGGAAATGTGCTGGATCCAGATGGTAACATGGATCACTTCGTAAATCATACCAGTATTTGTTCCTTGTCCCATTCCTGAGATTTACAGAAAATTGTCATAAAAGTCCACCCATAACAACCCTGTATTAGGTTATTAGCACTGGTACAATGCATCTCTCAATATTGTTGGTTACAGAGAGGCTTTTTACTTCTAGTTAAAGCCGAGGTATCCAGCTTTCAACCACAAAAAATGAATCCACCTAACTAGTTCCTTGCTCTCAAGTTTTCCCCCGTTTTGAATTATCTGTATTTCACACGTTTTAGATCAACTTTGCAGATATAAAATGTTTCCCAATAATATACTGGCAGCATGTTTTGGTCCTATACGTTTACTTTCACAATACAAATTCTGTCGGACAAAATATATAGCTAATTGGAGCTAGCTTCATTATGCAAACAAAACAAATCTTTTCTCCTGTTTGGATGGCTTTGTAAATATCATTAAAACTGCCTTATTTCTGCTTTTAAGTGGACTTTAGTCATAACCGACAGACAACAGCTCCCTCCTACAGTAGCCTCGTCATGCAGAAACAAATGAATGAATTTGGAGTGACTGAAAGAGGCCCACCATGAGAAAAACACCCATTCAGCAGCTCAGAGCACTTCCTACTTCTCAGTGGAGTAAACAGAGGGTGCGGACCCCCCCTGCGGACACAAACACAGTCTGTCTGGGCCCCTGTTATTACGACATGTTGAACCACTCAGACAACCGTTCCTGTGTGAGTTTGTCTACAGTCCGCTTGTGTTGTTTGGCTTTTTTTTCTTCTCCGCTGCTGAAGTAGTACGAAGCCGGTGGAAGTAATTTGGAAAGAATGCAATGGAGCAGGGAGGGGTGGCGGCCCGTTAAAGCAGCAGGCTCGGCCCCAAATGAAAGCGCCCGAGCTAACGAGGCTAACGAGGCTGGATGCTAATGGCCGAGGCTCCCAGCGTGGCGTCACAATCAGACAGACGCACACGTGTACCGGGAATTTACACAAACCCAAGCAAAACAATGGGCTCTTAGAAACTCCATTTGAGCTGTTGGCCATTTCTTGTTATTGTATGAATGCAAATAATTGAAATTGCTCAAATAAATACGTTTTTAATCGTTTTCACCCATACACTCGTGATGGCATACATCATTAAAAACAGTTTTGCAATTCACAATGCTTCATAAACATATTCTGCTATTGCTTTGTTGTGATGCCAAAATCCAAGGAATGTACTAACCCTGATGTTTACCAAAATTTGAAGAACCGTGACTTTAGTTAAATCAGAAAATGCATATGGATGTGAGATTCCAACATTATCAACTATCTCTAAATATGTTTGAAGGGAGCCTTTTCAAAACTAGACATTTCATTTAAATTAAATCGCACAACAATGCCTTTTTGCACATTTTTTCCACTGTGGTTTTACTGCAAATGCCCCGAATCTGAATCAAAGGTAGTTTCTTCTCTATAAATGTAAGGGCAGAAATATGTCCTGTAAATGATCTTTTGTTATAATCTTATGCTAGCTGCTTTTATCATTGTTAAATATATTTTTCATAACTGTTTTATTATATCATGATGTTGCCAAAGATACATTTATACCTGGATAGACAAATATTCCATTCTATTTAAAATTACAACCATTTGTTTACCTCCTTTTGAAATCACTCTACTTTTAGTAAATAAACTTCTGGATGGAACTCTTAATTCTGTTTTGTCCTGGCATTGTCTTAATTCTGTTTGACACCCCTGGCATTGTAAGCTCCTGTATGTATTTTACAAACTTGAATCTGGTTTATAAACAGTACTTACTATACTATACTAGCCGTAAATAGCTATAAACTACACAAGCTCAAAACCGCTAACTGGTAAACCTCCCATTCTTTCATTGGATGTGTTGAGTCTTGTATGTTATCACCTGCTCCTCTGTGATCAGCCCGGGATGCCTCTCTCCGTTCTGGTTGGTGAAGTCCAGGGGCAAACTCTGGCACAGCTGCCCCAACAACATGGACACTTCCTTCATACTGCGCCAACAGCAAACCAGCACCATCTGAGCGGTCACACGGTAACTCTCGGCTCCTGTGACTAACAAGGGACATTAAACCGGAGAAATGTGAAAACACGTGTCAAAATGTGCCGTTCTATAGTTTATGGGAGCATGAAGGCAGTTAAATATGCTACTCTTTTGGTGGAGGACATTTTAAGTCTGCATTTAAGCCAATCTATGAGGCCAAATCTGTGATCGAGCATACATGGGAGGGCAACTAGTTTGTAAGAGTCTTAAAGGCAATACAACTCTGTAATTTAGTCTGCGATTCTTCCCAAACCAAATGTTTACTGAGATGCTACCTGCTGTGAGAATATTGTCAATTGAATAAACTACAGTATATAAAGTATTCTTCAAAGGGGAGAGTTTCTAAAGATACCATAGATAGTAAACTTGACTCCACAGTGCCCCCATTTGAAAACTAAATGAACTACAATAACATAATTTCCAGCTTTTACAGGGCCTAACAGAAGATGCAACAGTGGAATTGGTTTATAGCTAAAAATAACAATAACAACTTGAAGAAAAAACCTCCCTTTACTGTAAAAGAACAAAAAGTTTATGAAATTTCAGCAATTTTACAGAGCTTAAAGGTATATAAAAGGATTCTCTACTTCCGAGCGGATCATCAAGACTATTGTTCTTTCCAATTGTCAATAATTCTGCTGATACGAGCTCGTCAAATAAGACCAGAGAGTTGTGTTCAAAAAGTGGAGAGGGCGGGTCTTTCCTAAAATTTGGGGAAACCCTCCTAAATACCTGTAATGTCTAATGTCTTTCTAACAACACATTATAGATTATCAGTTCATCATCATATTCCAAATTAAAATAATATCGTCCAATATCAAAAACACATCTGCGTTTTGTGTCCCACCTGTGTCCAGTGAAGGATTATTCATGTTTGTTTGCTCTTCACTTTGCTCCGGCTGCAATTCTCTGGCGCTGGTGAAAAAGTCGTTTGTGTCTCGGGGCTGAATCTCCTGAAGGATTTTCTGCAAACCGGCCGACGCTTCTGAACACAATCATATCCATATTAGTAAGATGTACACCTGTAGGTTCAGCAGCAAACATTAATACTAGATTCTAATTTCAACCACTTTTTCGTTTCCAGCCAGAGATTAAACGAATGGAGCTTGAGTTTGTTTAAATAAATCCAGAAATCTATATTTTGTGTTTGTAGCCTCAGCAAATGTGGAGAAACTTGGTTAAATGTGAGTCGTAAAATGTTATAGAAAGCCCTCAGAACTGTCTGGATATGTGCTTTTCAACTTTTACTGATCATATATGTGCAAAAAACTGAGTAAGGCAGGACAGGGAAAGGCAATCCCCATAAAAAACAAACACTTAACAAACCCTTGCAGATTAAAAAGGACTGAGTATTTCAATATAACGCATTGTTGTTGTCACCGGAGTCGCTGTCCATGGGGATGAGGCCTTCAGGGGAGGAGCTCTGGACGACAGGAGCCACTACACCGGACGTCCTGTAGCAAACTGAGATCAGCTCCGAAACCAGGGTCCGCCACTGCTCAGCCTCAGTCAGATCCCTCAAAAGATGGAACCAGAAAAACGTCTTAAAATGCTATTCCACGTTTACAGTTGGTTATTGGTTGTTGACCTAATGACAAACTGTATGACCACATTTTTTGCATATCTTTGTGACACTGGGGCTCTCCATGAAGCTATAAATCGGGTCCAACATGACAAAACGTCTAAACTTGTAGACTTCTACTTACATGATGTTGCATTTAAAGGTAATTATTTGTCCATGGAATGAACATCTACATTGGACTGAGCAGGCTAAATTATGGATCACATCTATGGAGAGGAAATTACAAAAGTGGTACATTGGATTAAGATTAAAATATCATATATTCGTCCCACAGTAGGGAAATTTCAGTGTTGCATCACCAGTTATAGAACAGTAGGAATGAGGAGCACACGGCAGAAGATAACAATAACTCTACAAAAAATAAAATAAAATAAAATCTGTCACAAAAAAATCTCTTTAGCATAATGAGTAGGGGTGTGACGATATTAACGGCTTATTAAACGAGCGCGAGGTCTGTACAGAGAAATATCAGACTTTGGCCTTTTTGCACAGACAATTAAGGACGAGGTCTGATATTTCTCTGTACAGACCGAGCAAGCGAGGTTAATAAATTTTTAGTTTTATTATACGACTCTTGTCTGTGTCTTTACCAACGCTTTTGAGATATTTGTGAAGTATGTTCATGTCCGACTTGGTTTTGTGTGATACGCGCTGCGGACAGATTGTCATGGTAACGGTCCGAGATGGGAAAATATCAGACCGGTAATCAGCCAATCAGAGCGCGCATACGGTCCAAGTCATATAATAAATTGCGATATCGATATATTGCGATACTTTATCCCGCGATTCGATTATCGATATGCATTTGCCAAGTATCGATATTGATTATTTTTATTTTTTTTATCAGTATCAATACTTAATATATGGCTACATTACGCATCTCCATTCCATTTATCATGAATTAGGGTATTTTTTCACTTAATATTTTTCTTTTATTTATGCCATAAATTTGCATATGGTAAATTTGCATATATATGGACCAATATATCGATAATAGTCATATCGTGATAAAATCACGATATGATATTATCGTTATCGCGAGCTTTGTATCGTGTATTGTATCGTGAGGCACCCTTAGGTTCCCACCCCTAATAATGAGTACAAAAAGTCTGACTAACTGTCTGAAAAACTGACTTCCATATAACACAGTATTTGATAATAATGAGGATTGTTCTTACTCAGTGTTCAGCTGCTGGAGCACGGCTGTGATGCAGTGAGCTCGTCCATACAGAGGGAACGAAGCCGCGGCCTGAAGAAGAGAAGACTCCGCCCTGATCACCTCCGACTGGAGACTGTGTAGTAAGAACCGGATCACTGAGGACCAAAACACAAGGAAATCTGACTTTTACTCATGTTTTTACATAAGAAACACACATTCATATTCATTACTAACAACTGAATACAGATTTAATTAGCATTTAGTTGACCAGGCAAATTGTTCAAGGTTTGTGGATAAATAAATAATGGTTAAAGTGTCATGTGTAATATTAAAGTGAACAAGCAAAAATGCCTTTTAACAGCACATTTTAGTACAAATCTTACTTAGTCTGTCTCACATTCAATAAAATCAATGTGAACATTCTGCAGAAATTGTAGAATGCGTAATGTAGCCATATATTAAGTAACAATACTTTTTTCAAGTAAAGCTTAAAAAATGCTGCATGTATTAATAGACAGGTGGATTAATGGAAAACAATGTGCTTCAAGTCAAACGTGTGTGTGCGCGTGTGCGTGTGCGTGTGTGCGTGTGTGTGTCTCGTTTCACTGTTGTGAATTAGGGCTACATAAAATTACATTGAATTGTATTTCCAAACATTGTTATTACTACTACATGATATCACATAAAACTTGTTCATTTTCTTCCATTGGGTAATCACAGCTCTGAGTCAAATAGTTTGGAATATAGACTGATATTTTCCCCATAAATACATGTACCTGCCAAAGTGTTGATCTCCAGCAGTAGTGCGTGGGGGGCGTCTGGAGCAGGGGACACAGGAGGCTGGAAGTCGGAGGCCTGTCTCTGAGCACAGAGCCCCAGAGCCTGGATCAGGTCTGGTTCATGGATCAGGAGGTTCAGGAGGTGAGCTGCTGTGACGCTGTCGAAAGGTTTAGTGCTGGTGCTGAGGTCCAGAGCCGCCTGAAGGACTTCGGCCATCCGCTCCGCAACCTACACCAATGCAATTACTTTTTTTACAGCCCAAAATCACAACAGTATCGAAGAACTTTACAAAAAACCTGTATTATTTCACATGTATTCTGTTTTTCCATTGTTCTTTGTTTTGTCTTCTTGTTGTCTTTTAGATTTATTATTATTATTATTATTATTAGCTTTTTCAAATAAGAAAATCATATATTATACTTATATTGTAAATATTCTGTTTCAAAAATATTTTCCACAAATCTTGATAATCATAATTCTTGTTTTAATTGACTTTGTCTCATGGTATTTCAACATAATCATACATGAAACCTAAAAAGTTAGTGAAAGTTACTAATCTTGCAATATACAGTTTTGACACCAGATGGCGCCAAAAGCTTGACCTGAAATCTACCGGTGCCTTTTTTCACTAACAAAATATTGAAAGTGGTAAGATAACAGAAGGTAAAGTATACGTCTAATCCTGTTTTAGTCCATCCACCAGCATTAGAGCCTTGTTAACCAGTAAGGTGCCTAATTGTGTCAAATTAATCATTTTTCACTTCATGACAGAGAAAAAAATCTAATATCGTAATTAGATAAAAATTAGTACATACATTTATCAGGAAGAAAAGATTTTGGCATAGATAGTATCACACCGGTCGTGCAAAAAGGCAGGATGTGTGAAACATGTTAAAAGTTAAAAATATAGTCTCTTCTGTGCAGGATTTATTATGTACAGGAATGGAAGAAATGTACCTTTAGTCCGACTGTGGCTGGGGGAAGTTGGCGCAGCACCGTTGAGGCGAGTTGTTTGACTTCTAGAAAGTTACTCGCGACGCAGTAGAGGACGTTTTGAGCGTGTTCTGAGGTCACCGCATCTCCCAGTGCAAAGATATCAGGATCTACAAAAACAAATGGGGACTTTTCACAACATAATACTAGTCATTATGCAAAACATTTACCCTTTTCGAAAACATCACATTACAGCTCGGTTAACAGTTTTAGTTTCATGGATCTTTCTAACTTTAACCCTAAAAATATGTGTTAAAAAAGCACATCCCATTATGTATTTGGTTTCAACTGTGCGATTTCCAGTTTTTCAGTATTTGGTGTAAACACAGCCACTTCATGACCATACTCTACCTGTGGCAAACGTGAAAATTTGTCCGATCAGACAGAGCAGATGAAGAGACATAATGCATTTAGAGAATGAAGCTCCGGGCAGCAACACGTCTAAAAGCATTCCACACATCCACCGCAGAAACTCCTGGATATTATAGAAAAACGGTCAGTGGACAATTACATAAGTCTTCTAAAAGTGTTTTCAAGCACCTTATAAGAATGCAGTGTTTTCTGGTCTTGCTCTTTCTGCGCCTGATTTTTCTCTTGTCCAATTTTCTTCTGAAGGAATTGAGCACTGTCTTTCACGCGACAGAGAAGCTGTTTAAAATAAGCCATTGTGAGGATAGAGGACTGTTATGACAATGAATGTGTTTAAATGTCCAAACCTTTTTGAAGAGGCTGACAGTCTGCTGCCTGACTCCAGGGGATTGGCTGTTCAGGTTTGGGGGCAGAAAGTAGTGAATGAGCTCCACTTCCTGTGAGGTCAGAGTTTCTGTGCTGCGGTGACTCTCACAAACCAGACCCAACGCATCCATTCTCACCTAAACCAAAGACAAGACACTGAAAATGTAAGGGCAATAGTACCTATATGAAAAAGACCAAAAACTAAACCAACTTGGTCATGTTTGTGCACAAGGGCCTGTTGCAGCAGGGACAGAGGGACCAGTCCTCCCCACAGACCTTCCACTGAAGATGGGACGACGCCCTGAGCTCTGGCTGCTCTCAGACAGGTCATGAGGGCCCCTAAACCCCCTCTGCTCCCTGATGGACCTGTGGAATGTGGCACAACAAAAACAAAATATCATGACCATGTATTATTTCATCCTAAATATTTTGCAAACACAGTGGAAGACATTACCTGAGCTGCTCGGCGGCATGTCCTGTAAGGCCTGCACCATGTGTGACAGACTGGAGGGACTGCAGCGCAGGAGTCTGGGGAGGAAATAGTCCAGGATGTAGGTGGTCTGGTCCAGTTGGGCACTGCAGAGCACCTGGAGCAAAGGAGTGACCCAGGTCACATGCCATTGGTGCATCCAGTCCTCTGCTGTCCCGTCTTCAGCCTGGTCACAGAGCTGAGCTTTGTGGCTGATGAAAAGCCTCTCCAGTAAGTCACTGGCATAAGGAGCCAGAGTCTGGTCCCCCATGAGCCCCAGGAGAGAGGAGGGGAGCTGGGGCTGCAGTTCCAGAAGGAAACCTGCTCCATGGAGCTCCACCAGGCAGCTGAGTGAACCATACTTCCCTCTCATGTGCCACTCCAGCTGCAGCAGACTCTGGGTAAGAGCACTGATGTAGGGATCAGTCCTTGGGTCCTGTTTAGAGTCTGTTTGCTCCGAGGCAACGGTGAGACTGTGCAGAACCAGCAAATTTTTGAAGAGCGAGCGAGTCTGGTGCCTCACTCCGTCCAGCGGATGTTCCCAGTGAGAGTAGATGTGCTGCAGTAGGCGGCGCTGCAGCGCTGAGTTTCCTCTCAGACTCAGCAGAGATTCAGGACACGACTGTGTCCCAGACTGAAGACAATCCAGAGCAGCTCCGCTCCACAAAGTCAAGACTCGCGCAACCACCATCGCTGAGCTCGACTCTTTCACGCTGCACAAGCACAGGAAAATAACAACGTATTATTAATGAGTAAAACGATTTTTTTAAACATTATAATCAAGCGGAGGATTCACCTGACGTCCAACTCCAGCAGAGTGTGTGGAACCAACAGTAGTAGTTGTTCCCATTGTGGACCAGAGAGGGCGCTCTTCCAGCTCAACATAGCCAGAGCTCCATGACACAGATACAGAGAGACTCCAGGAGGCCGACCCTTCGTCATTAAACCCTCACATCTGTGTTTCAACCACTGAGGAGTGAGATCCAAACCTTCCAATGAACCACGCAGCAAACTGCACACCTAAAGCAGAAAAGACTCATGATCAGAATTTCACTGCTCGTTCAAATATAAAATGAGAATCTACCTCACCACTGATGCGACTTCATCTCCAGGTCCCATGACGGACCTGATCAACAGGACCACTGCCATCCCCGCTGTGCTCTGGACCGACTGAACAAACTCTTCTGTAGACCATAGTTTTCATGCAACAGAACAATTGTCACAAATACATTTCTAATTACAATAATTCTTTGGCCAGCTTCGTTTGTGCATTCTTGTCAATAATGTAGAGCACAAAACACATTTACAACTTACCATTGGTGAGAACATGTACGTAGCAGTCCAACGAACTGCTCAAAGTGTCTTCAAATCCGCTCTTTCCTTCATCGCTCTCCAACAAAGCACTGACCGTGTCCTGGGACCTCTGCAGAACCAACATGGAGGTCTTCACAGCAGCCAGACAGGAGTGCATGAGCTGAGCCTGAGCTATGTGCCGTCCTGCAAGATCGCTACACCACCACCAGAGGGCGACAGACACAAACAGATGAATAAAGTAAATAAAGTTCGAGGATAGGCAAGGCAAGTCTTTTTTAGGTCATACATAAGGCAGCTCTAAGTTTTTAAGAACACAAGAAAAGAAGCATTAAAACCACAGTGCATGAAAAAGAGTGAAGTGGCCTCAAAACTGCAAATTAATTTTTTGTGTATTATATTTCTTGTAATGTATAGTGGGGGTCTAACCCAAGTATCAATCAATCAACTTGTATTTGCAGAGCGCCTTTCCTAGACCAGGCAACACAAAGCATATCACATCAAGCATAAATCAAAAAAATTAAAACAAACAAGCATTAAGATCAAAAGAAATATGAAAAACAGAGAATAAAATCACACAAGTAATTAAAAACCTTAAAATATTAAAAAATCACACACAAGATTAAAATCATAAATAAATAAAAGATATAATCCTTCAGTTGTATGCACAGCTAAACACACCTGTTTTGGTCAAGGCCTCTGCTCAGGCCTATATGAAGAAACTGCAACACTATAAAAAAAAAAACAAGAGACGTTACAAGATAAAAACAAGCACAAATCAAGCCACAATGGAAAAAGCCTCACCTTCAGGAAGCAGTTTGTTGATGCACTTTTCACCTAAAAAACAACAGAACAAAACTTTACATTTACTTCAAATCAAATGAAAAGAGTAAGCAATAATACTCACCAATCGGGAAGCCATCGAGACATGCCGCAATTATGTCTACGTTGAGAGTGAAGTGGTCGGAGGCAACTTTGGACAAACGTTCAGAGAGGCAAGACGATAACAACGCGACTGCTCGATCCACTAACCAGAGAGGAGCTGAACCTAAGGCACTGGAGGACAGAAACAACACGGTATATTTAAGTTAGCCCAAATTCTGTCATGTGTTAACAGCATTTCAGACTTGTATAGTGTCTGGATTATTTTACAACAAAAAGAAAAGTTTCACAAATACGTTGACAAGTTAAAAGATCAAAGGTCTGAGTACGTTTTCCATCCGGACATTTCTCTCAAATACAGATTTTCAAGTTTGTAAATTTGGGACGTGCTTTTAATCTTATTGAGAGCTGCATGTCCGAGTCCTAATTAAACAGTTTACAATTTGATATGGAGCATCCTAAAATTAAAACTTGGGAGAAGAAATTACTTACTATTTAATTTCATTCTAAATTTTATCTCAGAATCAGATTAAAACTTGTATTATTCTGTTGTCAAATTCTGTTAATGCTGGTTTTTGGATTAAACAAGTAAATAGAAACACAATTACAGGTATGATGTGGTTATAATAAGGTAAGCATAAACATTATAATGACAACAGAAATGGATTAAGAGGAAGAATGACCAGAGTGACAAGGTTATAAAGTGGCAGGAGGAGAAGACGATGGTGTTTGGGGATTGAGTGATGCAGCAACAACAGCCTAAGCTCATGTGTTACAGAAAACATCCAACACTGAAGCGGTACCTTGCAATGGCCCGTCTCAGGGGGTTCTTGGGCTGCAGAGATGTGTAAACCAATGTCAGTGTATGCAGACAGGCTCCAAGAAGAAGTCCATCTGTGTGGTCTTCAGTCAGTGCTTCCAACTGTGCACCTGCCTGTAACAGAACAGCCACATGATAACGGTTTGGTCCTGCTTTTGAAACTCAGAAAATACTTCTTAAATATTTGAGGTGACTTAGACATGCCAACAACTGTACCATGCAACGTACTGCTTATACTTGAGAAAGGGTTATCTGATTCAAGCTTGTCAACCAATATCAAAAACTTCCAACACACAATTACCTTTCTGACCAGCTGGATTTGCTGCACTGGGTCTGTCAGCTCCAGACAGGACTGCAGAGTATGGGCAAGATTTTGAACCTCACCCTCTCCTCCATCTATAGACAAGGAAGCTACAGAGAAGGGTATACATACAAGCATGTCATTACAGATGTTACTGAAGGAGTCCACAGCTGACTTTAATAGCATTTAAAAACATTACCTATTAAATGTGAAAGCTGTTCCTCATTCAGAACCACTGCCTCAACTTTAGGCGTCTTCTTTTTCACTACCATGATACCTTGACGAGAATAATATTACATTATTGAAGGCTTGTAAATGTAACTTTTTAACCAGCGCAAGAAACTAGAGGCAAGCTCCTGGTTTCCACTTTTTTGTCAGTAAAAAAACTAACTAATATGACTCAGATAGAACCATAAATTCTACTTTTGCGCTATGTGTTGCCCCTTCATTGACTGACTGTCACTTTAACAACATTAGCTTAGCTGTTAGCAATGCCTCTCACGTGTTTGTTCCAGTCAGAGGAAAAAGGTAAAATGCACAAAGCGGAAATTGGACATGAGGTGAACATGTAACATAAGCATGAATAATATTTAAAGTTTTGAGCAGAGAAAATCACTCACCGACTGAGACACATGTGCTTCCTATCAGCTGTGGAGAGACAGGACTCAACCCACAGCGCCACCTGCTGGAGGGAGAAGCGCAGTACCGCCCATCTGCCTGAAATACTGTATTGGTTTACCTTCTTGTTTTTCTAGTATTTAATTACCAAACTCAATGTGGGTCTGGTCTAATATAAGATATTCTAAGAGTTGACTTCTGGATCTGGGGTGAGTAATTAAGAGGCAGAGACCAAAGTAACTGTGTGGTCATGTTACCATATACGGAATGAAAATTATATTTACATAATTACAAAACAGAAAAAGGGGGATAAAAACATTGGCAATGATACTACAGTATATAGTTATGGTGTACCAAGTTATTGTTTGATTCTAGTTGTGATTCAACAAAAATAATCTATGGATCCAAAGGGAAAATAGAAATTTACACTTTCAGCTTCTGAAGAAGTTTTAAAATGACAATATACTTTTACTTACTCATACTTACTCATACTATGTTTAACATGATGAAAGGGTTAAATTGTTCCAAATGGAAAGAGCAAAAAAACAAAAACATAAGAGTTTTCCCATTGGAGTCCAAAAACAATGGAGAAGTTAGTTGGCAACACCCCAAGTGTCATTTGAAGCAGAAAGACTCTGGGGTGCGTCTGGGGTCCACAAGAGGAAATTAATAGTTAATGAATGATAGTACAATACAATACAACACAATGTATTCTTGTATAGCCCTAGGTCACAACAGAAGTCATCTCAGAGGACTTAACAAAACCATTGAAATCACCAACACAGGTCAGAGAATCAACAGTTAAAACACATGAAGAATATAAAGCACACACAGAAGAAAATGTCCATACATGTTGTAGAATGCTAAAGTGTCCTGATCATCACCAATCCTTTCTGTTGGACACTAACTGTCCAACAAGACCCTCCTGCATCGACAAGGAAAAACTCTTAAAAACTCAGTGGGAAAAAGTGAGAAACCTTGGGGAGCACTAGGGAAACCCACAGGGAGGGAGACCCATATGAGAAAGGGATCCGCTCCTCCGGACGGACAGGCTAATGATCCAGGACCTAAGCTAGCTACAGAACGTGGACCAGTGGACGCTGAACGTGGACAGGTCCGGTGCAGGACCGAAGCACTCCCAGGCGGGTCGGGCGGGGCAGTCCGCAGGTGTAGATGGAGGAGGCCAGGCTCAGAGATCCCGCCATCGTACCATGAAACAGACAATGGGACAACGGGTGAATAGCAATGAACAAACTACAGTCAAAATCCTAATAGTCAAATCAATAGCTCCACAACTTAACCATTATATCTATATGATGGCTATTTTATGTAAACGCTTTAAAAAGCAGAGTTGATGTTATCCTACAGTATTCTCTCCTTTTGAATGGTGAAATATGTTGTGATTGCTGCCCATAAACAGGAAGCTAGAGTTTATTAACTCAGTTGTTTACTCAGACCTGTTGGCGTAAGTCCAGATAATTTGGTCATTATAGTTTCCTTTGGGGACTTTAAATGCTCACATTGTAAAAAGAAAAAAAGGCAATAAGATGAACCATTATCAGCTTACAACGACCCAACAAATGTAGTGTTTACAAATCTCCAAACATTGAAATTCTATGATGTAGTTGCTCTTTACACTTTGATATTAATGTTCAAACTCAAAGATGACCTTCTGCCAAAACCACTGCAAAAATTGAAGGAGCAGTTGGGTTCATAAAGTCAGTTGTTTATGGGGTTTGATCTCTGGAATGGATGCACAGATGAACTTAAAACATGTAATTCACTTTTTCACTTCCACAAGTTCAAACATGACTTTCTAATCTTCTCACATTCATTTTTACAACCATTATTATTTACCATTTGGGTGATGATGATAAAGGGTGATAAAGGCACACCAAACAATATTTCAAGGCACAGAATCATGACGCACTGTGCAAATGACCAAAATAAAATAAAAACTTAGTTCATTCACGGTCATTCATTAGGGTTAGGGTTTGTCAAAGGTCATCTCTTCTCATGAGTTGCACGTGCACGTTCCATAACAACAACATGCCCTAAAACACTATTGATCTCTGATGAAAGAGTGATTTATTTGCCCCACGCAGCTCGCGCACAGAACAGCCTCCAGTGACAAAGCCCTCTTTCCTCGGATTGGCTGTTTTGGACGTCATTTCACGCCCCGCCTTTTCGACACCTCATTGGCTGCGGCGTGGTGAAGACACGCCTCCTCCATCACTAAATTTCTGCTGGAATGAAAACCGCTGCCTGGAAAAGTAGTTCCAATTGGTTCACTATTTTAATTACTTGGCATACTGATCATAGACTGTGAACCATGTATAAGCCATGATTCTTGCTATAGACATAAATATGTTGTAAGCCAGTCATTTTACACCTCTCTCTGGTGGTAGCACAGAGAGTCGCAGTAAACTGCATCATTTTAATAGCAAAAATATATTTATTTATGCTCAATTACGACGATTGTTTGGTTGGTCTCCATATCTTAAACTTGTATAATGTATGTGTCTGATTATTTCCTTGTTTGTCATCACTAAAATGTCACTGAGCCATAAAAAAACAACATTGATTCTTATTTCTTTACAGCTGCGTGAGTGTCAGAGCGCTCCTTGATCTAAACCTAAAGCAGAATGAAAAATGCATATCAATAATGCATAACATTTGTTGTAATGTTGTTGTGTAGTTTCATCCCCGCAGTTGTACCCGGCCTTCGTCAAACACACATCTATGATCTACAAGAACATGACTACACCGGTCTACTGCACTCTTAACGGTAACGGCCAGATTCATGGTTTTTCCAAACTCCAGCAACTTGGCTCACAAAACAGTCACATTGTAATTCATATATAAATAAAATGAGTTTCTACCTCTGAAGAATTCCTGGGAGGGGTTCTTTCCTCTTTTACTGAAGAAATGTTTTTCAGAAAATGTTTCTTAGAAAAAAGTTAGTTTCTCTGTAGCATTAAAGCTGGAGTAGCTGATTATTTGTTTCATAAATACATTTTGTTTGTTTCAAGAGAATGAGTTTTAGTAAAACGTTGTGGGAAAAACCTCTGCATGTGAAAACTAGTGATAGAACCAAACTGTTTTGAGAGCTCGGAACATGGGCTCCATAGGGTTTTGGGATTATCTTCTCACATCTGCCTGTTGTAAATTGATAGAATAATACTTGTGTGTTGCTGCAGAAAGCCACCCTCCTGAGCAGCAGCCCCTTCACAGACAAGTCTTCAAACTCCGAGGACTGGTCTAGTTCAGGGGAAGAGGACGGCTTCGTGCGCAGCTCACAGGCCTCCTCCACTGGATCGTGCAAAGGCAGCAGTCCGGGCAGCCTCAGGTCTCTCAAGAGAGGTAACTGTTCTCTGATTTATGAAGACAATAATACCATTTGGTTATATGCGTCTTTCCAAGCACCTATAGCATGGGTGTCCAAACATATTAGTAAGAGGGCCACTTTAGTTCACCAGACTAGTCTAGCGGGCCGACGTCACAGATTGAAAAACTGTCTTGACTGGCATCAGGCTGTTCCGAGCTTTAAAATGATCTATGACAGATGAAGTTGGCTGAATGACTAATGTTTACCATCTCACCAGCTCACAAGTCAACGACTGAAGACGTGCTCGGCTTTAGAACGAGGTACAACATGTCTGTACTGGCTGAGCTGAAGTTGGATGGATGGCACAGTGAATTTGTGTTTATGATATCAAACACTACTTCACCTTGGAGAGACCCATGAGGAAAATGCCGTTAGCCTTATTAGATTTAAGCATGTTTATTGATTGCGCATGTTTGGCGCCCTAGGCCCGGGAGGGATGCTGTTGAGCACGGCGCTTGCTCGCGTGCATAATCCCCCCCGGGGCCTAGGCACTGGTGACGGCAGAGGCAGTAGGCAAGCACACTTCGATGAGAGAAGGAGGAGGTGGGGCGGCGGAGGCTTGCAGACTTCAGAAGGCCGGGAAGTGGGCATCTCCGGCTTTTAACTTGCTGTCCTGGTGGTTATTTGTTGACTGGATGTGGGCGTTGCTGGTATTGATGAGTCGAGGAAGAGCAGCCTGTGGCCTGGGCAGCAGCAGCCGGGTCTACCACAGTGAACTTTCGCGAAAGCTCCATTTTGGGTTAGCAGCAAGGCAGAGGGTCACACACAATGATACTGAGGGCCGCAATTGGCCCCCGGGCCTGAGTTTGGACATGCCTGTTTAATACGTTTCAAACTGAAAGGTGAGTTGTGGTGGCTGCTGACGTTGAAAACTATTGATCACCATAATTAGGAATTATCAAAATTTGCCTTTTAACTTTGCCAGCAAGCGCCCCTACACATTTTTCTTCTTTTCTAGCCCGTGGCACTTCATGGCTGGTCTGAAGTCCTCGTATCTGTTCCTCCCAATACAGATATTTGAGCTCGTCACCTTGCCCACACGAATATTGATAGGTGTAGTGGTTCTTCTTGCAGGTTTTAATCAGGTTAGCTTCAGTCTCTCGATGTTAGCCTCAGACAATCGCTTTGGATGTATTGAACCAGAATTTCACAGCCCTAAATAATATTTAGTTCTTTCCCCAACATTGAATTTCTAATGGATGTTGGTCATGCTCATGAAAATCCGTTAATTCACTCAGTTTGTGTGTTTAAATGTGTGTATCTGCAGTGGCGCCTAAATCTATTTTGAGCAATTGTTATGTGTGCTATTGCGGGCACTATTGCAAATATGCAACACAAAGGGTTAAGGTTTAAGGTTACAGTCCAGCATGAATGATTTTCCCCTTTTGTCCTGCAGCAGTGTCCATGTCATCTGTGGCCTTAGAGAGCAACTTCACTATTCCCCCAGAAGCCTCCAGCACAGATGCTCCAAACCCAAACTAAAAAAGCCCAAAACCTGCTCCTCCTCCAGCGAAAACAGCAAGACTGTATGTTGAACATAAATAATTTATTTTCGCTTCACATTTAACTGTGTGAAGAAGAACAGGATATTATCAGGAATATTACACTGCATCACAATAGATAAAGACACCAAATATTCCTAAAAAGACACAGCGCTTATATCACTGAATAAGCAAACCGTGTTGAAATATGAATCTTCAGACATAAGGGTAACTTCAGGGCATGGCATTCACCTCGGCCGGTAAACAAAAGCCTCTAGTGATTCCGTATCTTGGCTGATTCTGTTTGTAAACACATACACACTTCTGACTACTGACTATAAGTGCCCATTGAGTCAACATAAAGTCATGAATATAACGTATATTAAAATGTGTTTAAACTTAGGAACCAATGGAAACGAAAACTTGGAAGAGGCGATGGTTTGTCCTGAAAGATGGAGAACTCCTGTGCTACAGGTCACCAGCGAGTGATATTTTCCACTGGTTCCACCTAACTGGGAATTTGCACAGTAGGCGCTCACAGGGCTGCGTTGACTGCACGTATAGGCGCGTAGCTCTGCCTGTGTAGTCTTTGGAGAAGTGTAGAGGACAGTGCGGGCCAGAAGACTGATGTAGAGCAACAAAACTCAAATGTATGTGTTTGTCCTCATGGACTCTGTGGGCCGGTCTGCCAGACGCAATGATTTATAAAAGAAAAAAAACGATGTCCAGAATCATTGTGAAACCTGACAGCCCTCCTCCTAACGTTCAGTTACAAGTGCTGTGTGTGGATGTGATCTAGAGCCAAGGGCCGCTAGAAAAATCATGTCTCAATTAGAAATTAATTTTAAATTAGCAGCAGCCTTGCGTCAATACATCCGTAACACTAGTATATCACCATGAATTAAAATGGAAAAATGTTACGCGTGTACGCTGCACGTACAGCGCTTATGTGCCGTAACGCCTCTTGTGTAAATTAACAGTAGCCCTCACCCGAGGGAGGAGAACCCCCTGACCTAACCCTTTGCATGTTAAGATGATCAAAAGGAGCACTGTGTACTTCTGCAGTACTTTGGTAGAACTTTGGAGTACTGCTCCAGTATTTTTGCAGTACTGATGTGTTATTTCACAGTACCATAGATTGTGTGTTTAATAATTAACTGACAGTCGCCGTAAAACCAACAGAGTTTGGACTTTGGTTCAGAATGAGACCAAGACCACAGTGATCCACACGGAAATCGCTCTGGTGAGTCCAATACCGGTGATGGTTTTAAACCTGCTTTAAACCTGCTTTAGTCCTGTTTTAGGCCTCCTTTAGTCCTGCCTTAGACCTGCTTTAGACCTGCTTTAGTCCTGCTTTAGACCTACTTTAGACCTGCTTTAGACCTGCTTTAGTCCCGCTTTGGTCCCGCTGTAGTCCCGCTTTAGACCCGCTTTAGACCCGCTTTAGACCCGCTTTAGACCCGCTTTAGTCCCGCTTTGGTCCCGCTTTGGTCCCGCTGTAGTCCCGCTTTAGACCCACTTTAGACCCGCTTTAGACCCGCTTTAGTCCCGCTTTGGTCCCGCTGTAGTCCCGATTTAGACCCGCTTTAGACCTGCTTTAGTTCTGCTTTAGACCTGGTTTAGTACTACGTTAGATCCGCCTTTGTCCTGTCTTAGTCCTGCTTTAGTCCTGCTTTATTCCTGCTTTAGACCTGCCTTAGACCGTCTTTAGATCTGCCTTAGACCTTCTTTAGATCTGCCTTAGCCCTTCTTTAGACCTGCCTTAGACCTGCTTTAGATCTGCCTTAGACCTTCTTTAGATCTGCGTTAGCCCTTCTTTAGACCTGCCTTAGACCTGCTTTAGATCTGCCTTAGACCTTCTTTAGACCTGCTGTCAGGGATTAAGCAGACAGAGACGGATCTTGGACCTTCTTTAGACCTGCCTTAGACCTTCTTTAGACCTGCCTTAGACCTGCTTTAGATCTGCCTTAGATATTCTTTAGATCTGCCTTAGCCCTTCTTTAGACCTGCCTTAGACCTGCTTTACACCGGTTTTGAATCATGGACAGTGTGACCTCATCCTCATGTGACCTTTGACAGAGTTGGAACCTGTGTTGAAGTACTGAGTACTGAACTCTTGGCCAAAAGTAGAATTGTATTATTAAGATATGCAACCCTAACTCTAACCAGGCTCTGCACTGCTTAGCTTCTGAAGTCTCCCATCACACTACAAACTAGACCATGCCCTGCTTAGCTTCTGAGGTCTCCCATCACACTACAAACCAGATCCTTTCCTGCTTAGCTTCCAAGGTCTCCCATCACAGTACAAACCAGCCCCTTCACTGCTTAGCTTCTGAGTTCTCCCATCACAGTACAAACCAGGCCCTCACCTGCTTAGCTTCTGAAGTCAGGGTGAGGCTTTTATAGTTGGCCTGAACCATTTTGTTCAGAATAGTAAACATGTGTTCAGACCGTGGAACTTGTGTCTTTATTTACAGAGAGCACCTTTAATTTCCCTGATTGAAACTGATCTGTCAATCACTTCTAATGGAGACCAATCAGAAAGCAGACGGGCTGACAGGGACTCAGCAGGAGGCGGGACTAAAAGCTCTGACCCAAAGAACCGGATACTCCTTGCGTCAGGTGAGAGTCCGTTTAACTTCTAAACGTTTGACTCAAGCTTCAAACATGCACCACTGCCAACTTACCAAGACACAGCTGTCTGCCCAAACCCACAGCTCAAACACACTGACAACACTGATTACAGATGCACACAAGAGGCTAATGGTTACTCTGCAAACACCCACAGTTCATCTGGGGGAATCTGTACATGGGACTCATGATAGTTGTACCAGGTGCTACTACTAGTACTACTCCTGCTGCTACTACTAGTACTACTCCTGCTGCTACTACTAGTACTACTCCTGCTGCTACTACTAGCACTACTCCTGCTGCTACTACTAGCACTACTCCTGCTGCTACTACTAGTACTACTACTGCTGCAACTCCTGCTGTTGCTACCACTAGTACTATTACTGCTACTAGTCCTACTACAGCTGCTGCTACTACTGCTGCAATTGCTAATGTTACTAGCACTAAGATAAGATAAGATTGCTTTATTTATCTCACAGAGGAGAAATTTACATGTCACATTTGGCATGGATAGAGACACTCAGATTGTGCAAAGGGAGGAAATGTGCAAACATGTTACATGCAGGATATATGTACAATAAAGTGACAATAATTATGTACAACAAAAGTGACAAGTGTCAATTGGAAACAGTGTCAATAGTAGTGCAGGTTTTCACACAGTGATCATTTAAAGTGACTTATTGTACAGTCTGACAGCGGTGGGGATAAAGGCCCTGTGGTAGCGCTCCTTCCTACACTGAGGGTGCCTCAGTCTTCCACTGAAGGAGCTCCTCAGCTCCTCTACAGTCCTGTGCAGTGGGAGGTGTTGTTCATGATGGAGGTGGCTTTGGCTAGCACCTCCTGTCCCTCACCTCCTGCACAGAGTCCAGGGAGCAGCCCAGAGTGGAGCTGGCCCTCCTGACCAGCTTGTTCAGTCTGTTTCTGTCCCGCTCTGTGCTGCCCGGGGCCCAGCACACGGCAGCGTAGTATATGGCTGAGGCTACCACAGAGTCATAAAAAGTCCTGAGCAGAGGCCTGCTCACTCCGAAGGACCTCAGCCTCCTCAGAAGGAAGAGGCGACTTTGGCCCTTCTTGTGCAGGGCGTTTGTATTATGGGACCAGTCCAGTTTATTGTTAATGTGAACACCCAGGTACTTGAAGCTGTCCACCAGCTCAATGTCCTCCCCCTGGATGTTCAGCAGCGTGTGGGAAAGTGGTTTTCTCCTGAAGTCGATGATCATCTCCTTGGTCTTACTGGTGTTCAAGCACAAGTGGTTGCGCTCACACCAGTCGACAAAGTCCTTGATAACCGACCGATATTCCAGTTCGTTCCCCTCAGACACACAGCCCACGATGGCGGAGTCGTCGGAGAACTTCTGCAGGTGACAGCTGTGTGTGTCGTGTGTGAAGTCTGAGGTGTAGATGGTGAAAAGAAACGGTGAGAGGACAGTGCCCTGAGGGGCCCCAGTGCTGCAGACGACCACCTCAGACTCACAGCTGCGCAGCCGCACTACTTTTGTGTTTTACAATTGTTATTTTTCTTGCTTGCTTTTTTCTACCTGAGATGTTGCTGCAGTTCATTGATCATGGTTTTACACTGGTCCAGACCAGAGCAGAGAGGATTCATGGTTTTACACTGGTCCAGACCAGAGCAGAGAGGATTCATGGTTTTTTTTTTTTTCTAGCATCTCACTTTGGACGAGAGCAAAGAAAGTAGGACACCGAGCGGCCACTCCGCCTCTGCTGCTGTGACCTAAAGTGCTGTTGCATTTTATCACAATTGTTAGCTATTTTCTTGTATTTGTTTTATTTGTTTGTTGACACCTGAAATTCTTCTACAGGGAATCAATAAAGTATCTATCTTTCCATCTATCTACTGCTACAATTCATATTTTACAATTAATTGCACTTTACATTAGTACTTCAGGCACTTTACAACAGTACTTTAAGATAGTACTTGTACTTCTGCAGGAGAATGGACAGAGACGATATGGTGGGCCTCCTCCAAACTGGGATGGACCTCCTCCAGAACGAGGCTCCGAGATCTTTGTGGGAAAACTCCCTCGAGATCTGTTTGAAGACGAGCTGGTTCCCCTGTGTGAGGAGGTAAAGTATTACTTTTGTATTACTCAGATACTCCAAGAGGCAAAGTACTACATACAAATATTCTTCTTCTTCAGTTCGGTCAGATCTACGAGGTGAGGATGATGATGGACTTCAACGGTAACAATCGCGGCTACGCCTTCGTCACCTTCAGCAACCGCCAAGAGGCTCGCACTGCCATGAGGCACCTCAACAACCACGAGATCAGGTCAGACCCTCAACATGAGGCTTTCTACAACCACGAGGTCAGACCCTCAACATGAGGCGCCTCAACAACCACGAGGTCAGACCCTCAACATGAGGCTTTCTACAAACACGAGGTCAGACCCTCAACATGAGGCGCCTCAACAACCACGAGGTCAGACCCTCAACATGAGGCTTTCTACAAACACGAGGTCAGACCCTGAACATGAGGCACCTCAACAACCACGAGGTCAGACCCTCAACATGAGGCTTTTAACAACCACGAGATCAGGTCAGACCCTCAACATGAGGCTTTCTACAAACACGAGGTCAGACCCTCAACATGAGGCTTTCTACAACCACGAGGTCAGACCCTCAACATGATGCGCCTCAACAACCACAAGGTCAGACCCTCAACATGAGGCGCCTCAACAACCACGAGGTCAGACCCTCAACATGAGGCGCCTCAACAACCACAAGGTCAGACCCTCCACATGAGGCGCCTCAACAACCACGAGGTCAGATCCTCAACATGAGGCGCCTCAACAACCACAAGGTCAGGACATTACGGAGGCTTTAAACCTTGGGTGGTGTTTACACAGGGACACTGCGGCAGTAAAATGATAACGTTGAGTGTCGGTTTGGCCTCCTGTTTACATGGAGACAGTGTTTCACGTGAAAACACAAGTGTTGAGAAACAGCCTCCAGAGTGGAACAGAACAGATACTCTGCAGCGGGGGCTGTTTTAGGGCAGCGTGAAGAAAAAGGTGTGAGTTCTCTGCTGCTATGACCTCACCACTTCCTCCACGAACATTTGGACATGTGCAGTAGCCGAGAACAAACACTAACAACAGCGGCGCCGGGTACACTAACTAGCTACATGTGCTGAGCGCCACACGGAGGAGGATTCTACTCCTTTGTTTGTCGAAACAAAACCATGCAAAGCTGTAGTTTTAGTTTCCATTTTTGCAGCTTCTGTTAAACGCAGTATGATGTTGGTTAGTTCACGTATTTGCGAAAGACATTCCACTGCCCACTACTGGCCCGGCGCTAGAACTATGGTGCAGACGCTGTACACTTAACATCAAAGCCTGATTGTTTTTGCTAATTGCTTTGCAGCGCCTCTGTCAAGACGGGCCTTAATGTACCGCAGCAGACACAGACTGGAATCTTGGGTCACCTGTAGATAACTGGGTTGTGTTTCAGACCGGGTCGCCTGCTCGGTGCTTGTCCCAGTGTGGATAACTGCCGTCTGTTTGTGGGGGGGATCCCGAAGTCCAAACGTAGAGATGAGATCCTCCTGGAGATGTCAAAGGTCACGGAGGGCGTCAGTGATGTCATTGTTTATCCCAGCGCCAACGACAAAAGTAAAAACAGAGGATTTGCTTTTGTGGAATACGAGAGTCACAGAGCAGCTGCTATGGCCAGGAGGAAACTGCTACCAGGTACTACTGATACTGCTACTACAAGTACTTTTACTGATACTGCTACTACAAGTAGTTCTACTGATACTGCTACTACAAGTACTTTTATACTGCTACTACAAGTACTTTTACTGATACTGCTACTACAAGTACTTCTACTGATAATGCTACTACTAGTACTGTTACTACAATAATAATAATAATAATAATGCATTGGTTTTATATAGTGCTTTTTTGGACACTCAAAGACGCTTTACATGTTTTTATTCATTCACTCCATACACAGTGGTCATAAACTACTACTGTAGCCACAGCTGCCCTGGGGCACACTAACAGAAGCGAGGCAACCAGTATGCCACAACGGCAGTTTGGCACTTTACAGCCGCAGCCGCCCCATTGTGGCATCTGGTGTTCCAAGAGGTTAAGTGTCTTGCCAAGGACACAACGACAGCAGATAGTGGGAGTCGGTGGAGAAAGTCTTATGGTGGGATCGAACCCACAACCTCCAGGCTCAAAGACCAACCAACTGAGCTACTGTCACTACTGTTATTACAAGTACTACTACTACTACTGCTGCTACTACAAGTACTGCTACTACAATTGCTGCTACAAGTACTACTACTGCTACTACAAGTACTATTACTTCTACTACTACCAGTAGTACTACTAGTGCAAGTACTATTTTACATCCATTTTCTTCCGCTTCATTCTTTGCCGGGGCGTGGGGGCAGCAGTCTGAGAAGAGACGCCCAGACTTCCCTATCCACACACATTTCCTCCAGCTCATCCGGGGGGACCCCAAGGCGTTCCCAGGCCAACTGAGAGGCACAGTCCCTCCAGCGAGTTCTGGGTCTTCCCCGGGGCCTCCTTCCGGTGGGACGTGCCCGGTACACCTCCCGAGGGAGATGTTCGATAGACCTGCTTTAGGCCTGCTTTAGACCTGGCCTTGGGGGTAGAACTGCTATAGACCTGCTTTAGACCTGCTTTAGCCCTGGTCTCTGTCCTGTAGGTCGAATCCAGCTTTGGGGACACGCCATTGCGGTGGACTGGGCGGAGCCTGAGGTGGAGGTGGATGAGGAAACCATGGCAACAGTGAAGATTCTGTACGTGAGAAACCTGATGCTGCAGACGACCGAAGAAACGGTGGAGAGAGAGTTCAATAGTGTTCGCCCAGGTAAGGGTCAGGGACAGGGGTCAGGGGTCACGGACAGGGGTCAGGTGTCATGGACAGAGGTCAGGGACAGGGGTCAGGGACAGGGGTCAGGGACAGAGGACAGGGACAACATTAGTTTGTAGCTAACCCTGTCTCTTGTAGGAGTTGTGGGTGTTACAGTTAGCATTAGCTGGTAGCTAACACTATCTGTCGTAGGGGCTGTGGAGCGAGTGAAGAAAATCAGAGATTACGCTTTTGTTCACTTCAGTCAACGAGAAGACGCTCTGAATGCTATGAACCAACTGCACGGGAAGGTAGGTTACTGAGTACTGCAGTAGTATGTCTGCAGTAGTACTGCACTAGTACTCTAACCCGGTCGGCACTAGATCATATACGGAATCGGGACGAAACCGGAAGTAACAATCCTACTTTCGAATTAGTTTTAGTGGTGACTGGTTAAGTTTTAGGTGTCTGGGTAAGATGGTTAAGGTTAGGGTTGAGGCTGGGTTGGGGTTATTTTATGGTAATGGCTGGTTAAGTTTAGGCATGAATAGGTATTTTGTTATATTTACTTCCGCTTCCGTCCCGTATATGATCTAGTGCTGACCACTCTAGCCCTAGCTCTAACCATTTCCTGTAAAAGGACTCTTCTAATCATGAATATTTGAGCCTAACTCTAAGCCATATTCCAGGTGATTGACGGCTCAGCTGTAGAAGTGACTCTGGCCAAACCTGTGGATAAAGACAGTTATGTGAGATACACTCGAGGGACAGGAGGCAGAGGAGCGGCTATACAGCAGGACTACGCCCCCTATGCTCTGGGACAGGTGATGCACGTATGCATGTGTGTGTCTATGTGTGTCTTTATCTGTGTCTCTATCTGTGTCTCTATCTGTGTCTCTGTGTGTGTGTCTGTGTGTCTGTGTGCCTCTGTGTGTGTGTGTGTAACCAAAACCTGTATTGTAGGTTTATGAGCCCTCCTGGTCATACCTCGGAGCTCCGGTCTTTTACGCTCCTCAGACTTTTGTTCCCTCACTTCGCTTTAACAAGACACCGGTTTGTGGGCGTGGCCTAATCCGCACACCGTCAATCCGAGGTGAGTCCTGACCCAGACTGGACCTGGTCCAGACCATGATCAGAATTACACTGAACAATAATACAAAAGCAGATTCACTACAGGGTTTAAGCTTTGGTCTTTGTGTTTCATTTTAAAAAGTTAGGGTTAACCATAAGTGTTAGCAAAGAGTGTAAAGTACCAAGAGGCCAAACTCCCCAGAACCAAAGAGTGTAAAGAACCAAAAGACCAGACTCAACAGAATGCCCCATTGCAACAAACGCAGTCAAAACCGAAGAGCAGCACCGCCTTCTTGGACTGAACTCAACACAACTGTCATAGAATACAGGAGCAACACAACTGTCATAGACAGAAGCAACACAACTGTCATAGAATACAGAAGCAACACAACTGACATAGAATACAGAAGCAACACAACTGTCATAGACAGAAGCAACACAACTGTCATAGAATACAGAAGCAATACAACTGTCATAGAATACAAGAGCAACACAACTGTCATAGAACACAGAAGCAATACATTTATTTCCACATAAGCAAATGAACATTTTGGTGACACACACACATGCACGCACAAACACACAATAGATCCATCCATGGGTATAGTATGTCGCTATGGTAACTAGAGTTTTGCCTCTTGTTATCTTGTGAGCTCTCCCAGCCCAGGACCTGCTGCTGTGTTTATACTTTTGTTCAGTTCTAAATCTGTAAAAATTAAACATTTGAATCAGGAATGATGATTATTACCAGGGGTGCACATAACTTTTTGAGATTTTATACTTGCTTCTTTATTGTGCTGAAGTTTAGATTTGCTCAGATCCACTCTCCGCCCAAAAAGAAATTAACAAAAAACAAACAAGACGGCCTGTTGTGGTTTGGTCTGTTTGATTTGTTCACAACATTTTACTTACTTACTTTTGGGCACAACCAACATGCATTATCAATGCAAGGGAAAATGTAGGTACCCCAGCACTTTGACGGTAGCCTGGTCGCACCACACCATAGTACAAATTACATTTCGTACCAAGGTCTGGATTTGCTCCATTGAGCTCTGTTAACAGGTGGGAGGGGCTAACTCCTTTTGCAGATTGAAACGATTGGATCTGACTTTACCGTGACGTATGTAATGCGCTCCGGTTTCAATTCCTTGTTAGAACCCAAACAAAATACTTTACTATTGGATTCTTCACCATTGCCAAACTACAACCAGCCCGTTCGGCGCAAACTCTTGACTGACACCTACCTACAACACCCGCCTCGCTGATTGGTCGGATGGGATTCAACCGATGTAATTGCAGACACTGGGACCAGACCCAGACGGTACATGCAGGGAAATGATAATTGACCGGAGTTTACAAATGGCAAAGGCCAAGCTACTTTGGGGGGAGACACAGGGAAGACATGGACACTTACTGAGGCTCCATAGTCCAGTTCTGTTTCTTGCAGCGGTGCATTTATTACGTGCACAGGTTACGCACAGACCGGCGTTGCCGTCAAAGCGGCTCACAGGCCACTGGAGACGGGAACCGCTGCCATTACAAAGCGGCCCCAGTTGCTACCGGGTCAGAACGGCCAGGAGGATGTGAAACCCCTTTCGAGTATGTACAGCAAACAACAGCAAGTGCCCACGGTCACGTGCGCGCCCTCCCGGGAAGCGCCCCACTATCTGAGAAGGACTGGTCTGTGTGAAGTACTCATTACTTCACATAAGCGCTAACTAACTCAAGTGATATTACGCATTTCTGATTCTTGTCACAAATGCGTACCTGCGTACCAGTTATGTGCACCCCTGATTATTACAAAAGTGATCAATGGTCTTTTTGAAGATGTGTTCACAAAGACCCACATGTGTGCGGCTAACCCTGGATTAGCTTAACCTGGATATGCCAACACTTATCCAGTGTGCTACAGACACATGTACTGTAGCTAACCTTAAAGAAGCTAGTCCTAAACACATGAAGCTAACCCTGGATAAGCTAACTATGATGAAGCTACCGCATGTAGCTAACCCTGGATAAGCTAACTATGATGAAGCTACCGCATGTAGCTAACCCTAAAGTGGAGGTCAGAGTGTGAACACTTCCTCAAACAGCTGTTGTTTTGGTCCAATTAACTGGGTCACAGGGTCAGAGGTCACATACAGACTGTCATATAGACTATCATATAGACTATATTTAGGCCATCAAGACTGTCAAGACTGTCTGTATAACAGAACTGTTCTACAGACTGTCTGTATAACAGAACTGTTCTACAGACTGTTCTACAGACTGTTCTACAGACTGTTCTACAGACTGTCTGTATAACAGAACTGTTCTACAGACTGTCTGTATAACAGAACTGTTCTACAGACTGTTCTACAGACTGTTCTACATACTGTTCTACAGACTGTTCTACAGACTGTTCTACAGACTGTTCTACAGACTGTTCTACAGACTGATCAACAGACTGTTCTACAGACTGTCATTCAGACTGTCATACAGACTGTAACTCTGACCCGGTGACAATGGTGACTTGATCTGCTCTCTGATTGGCTGAAGTGATCTTCTCTCTGATTGGCTGATTCTGATGATGTCTCTGTAGACGTTTACATGAGTCTGCCTGTAGGGGCCGCCGGTGTGCGCGGGCTTCCCAGGGGCGGGGCTTACATCACAGGGGGTGGGGCTTATCTCACCGGCGGCGGAGTCACCGGACGCACTGGGGGCGGGGTCTTAACCCAGCTTAACCCAGCCCAAAAACTGGACCCTAAACAAAACCAAGAAAAACTCTTTGACCTCCTGCCGGGAATGGAACTAACACCAATGAAAGCCACCAAGACTCCAATCCAGGTACCAGACCCGGACCAGACCCGGACCAGACCTGGACCAGACCAGAACACAACCAGCACCAGACCAGACCCTTTAGCCAACACCAGTGAAGGTCCCTGTATTAGCAAGTTCTGATGGTACCTCCCACATGATTGCAAGTCCTCAAGGACTTCTGTCAGATGAACCATTGGGGCTGTGATACAATGTTCTGATGGTACTTTACACATGGTTGCAGGTCCTTGAGGACCTCTGTCAGAAGAACCATTGGGGGTCTCCAGTTTACGAGCTTCACTCGGCGCTGGGTCCAGACCAGCGACAGCTGTTCCTCTACAAAGTGACTGTCCCTGCACTCGTGACTCAGTTTCCCACTGTGTGAGTGTGGACCAGGGTTAGGGCTCAAAGATACCATAGACATGGACCCCGTGACCAAACATGTGACTGTCTTCCCACAGACAGCCTGTGACTCCCTCCAAACTGAGCACATCTGTGGAGGAGGCGAGGCTCCATGCAGCAGAACACACTCTGAACACTCTGGGTCTGAGCGACATTTCTGATCCAGGATCTGGGACTGGACCAGGTCTTGTACCAGGAACCATCTCTGGACCAGTGTCCGGGACCATCAGCCCCGGGGCGCTGGCCTACACAGGTGAGTGAGGTACGAACTAACAACCAACTAACCCTCTGCACATTGATCATCAAAACTGAAAACACATCCAAACTTTTCACTTGAACAAAGCAGCGTTTGTGTTATGTCCGTCCCTCGTCACACAGGACCTAACCCTAACCCACTCCTGCGGTCACAAGCACAACTTCAAGCCTGGTTTAAAGTGGGCCTAGGCCCAGATCGCGTGCTTGGGCACAGTTGAAAGTGGTGGGCCTAGGCACAGTTGTAAAGCCCAGAGGGGGGTCAATGAGGCGGGCAGTGGGGAGCGGGGGATGAGGTGTGGTGGGGACCTGATATTGTGCGTCACATTACGCCTTCCTGCTGTGCCCGCTGTGATGTGCATTTTCACACACGTCTCTACCTAGCAGTCGCATACTTTTGCATTCTCCCTTGGTTGTGTTACACCTTTCATGCGAGCCGCCGGACCGTTGTAAAGGGGCAAAAGGAGGCGTTTAACTACCTTCTGTTCTAACCCTTGCTGTCACAGTGTGGTGCTATTCCAATAACACTTCAAACTGTTTATTAAAGAACCAGACCATTTTGTGGCCAAAACACACCAACATTCACTTTTCATTCTCATTCATTCATTTTTCAGGGTCTGGTAAACTGGTCAACTTAGACTGCTCAATGGCCTGGACCAGTTCATGGCAGTGAATGTGACCTAAGAATATTCACCTCCACCATCATTTTGAATTGTTGCTATAGACATAGAATTTGACCTATGTGTATGCATTAGTGACAAAACGGTTCACAGGTGCTACTGATATTGTTTCTTCCACTATGCCTTGACAAATTTTAAGAAGGAACCATTGAGAACCACAGTTATGTAAAAGAACTACCAAAACAAGAATCTTTTATAAAAAGTTTGATGCAAAAATCTATAACCGGCATCTAGAAATTGAGTTTAAACTCAAAGCTCTTGGTGTAAAGTCCTCCTCCACGAGTGCAGTGTCTCTGTGTCTGAGAGCCTCACGTCATATGTCAGCAGTATCTGCTCAGAGCCGACATGGATGTGTTATATTATTAACCAGTTCTTCTGCATCCAACACGTTAGCAGAACGTGTATACTGTCAAAGGAGAAACTCAGGCTGGAGTCTATGTTCAAACTGTGTCAGCCCTGGTTTTGTCCTGGTTTTGTCCTGGTTTGTCCTGGTATTGTCCTGGTTTAGTCCTGGTTTAGTCCTGCGACAGTAGTGTCACATTCAAACAGGTATAGTAGACGACATGCTAACATGTTGTCCATGTCCACAGGTCCCAGGATAGAACCATGGGGCGCTCCACGTGCCATGACTGTAATGTCAGACATAGACAAAGTGGGCCCTGTCGTCTTGTGTTCTGTTACATAAAACACATAAAAAAAACACTTAAAGTGTGATAAACAAATAAACTGCCCTCTTCCTACAGCCCCTCACTGTGAAACTCTTTTATTTGTTTATGTTGTTGTTTCTGCAGCGTTTCCTCTGGCGTCACTCAAGCAAACTCTGAACCAAGACCTGACCTTCGCCTACGAGGGCTACCCTACCTATACCCTGCGACCTACCGCTCTGCTGGGCCCCTGATCCGCCCCACGACCTGCCCCTCTGCTGGGGCCCTGACCCTAACTCTGTGACCTGCCCCTCTGCCGGGGCCCTGATCCTAACCCTGTGACCTGCCCCTCTGCTGGGGCCCTGACCCGCCCCACGACCTGCCCCTCTGCTGGGGCCCTGACCCTAACTCTGTGACCTGTCCCTCTGCTGGGGCCCTGACCCTAACTCTGTGACCTGTCCCTCTGCTGGGGCCCTGACCCGCCCCACGACCTGCCCCTCTGCTTGGGTCCTGACCCTAACCCTGTGTCCCGTCCTGCTGAGGCGACTGTAAGGACCACACGGAGGAACATTCTAACAAAGCAACAGCGCCCCCTGGAGCCTCAGTTTTAGTCCGAGGCCGTCCCAAAGTCCAATCAAACGGAGGCAGGTCTTTTATGATTTTATCTTGTGTCTGTGAGCCCTGACCCAAGGTGTCTGTGAGCCTCAGCCTTATGATTGGCTTCAATTCTGTAATTAATTTTCCATAATTTACATTGTTCATCTTTATTTTGTGTTTTTACTTTAAACTGTGAACGTTTTGGTTTCTGAGCCTTTTTTATAAGAACTACCTTTTAATGACTTTAACTGACCTTTACCCCTGACCATGACCTTTAACCCTGACTCTGAGGAGGTCTGGTACCCCTGACCCTTTGGGTTCAGGATCAGGGGTAGGGGTCAGAGTTCATTATATTTGAAACAATATTTAATATATATTTTTGTATCTTTCTAAACAAAACATCACCAGCTCCTGAAAGTCTGAGTCAAAATCTACTTTTGCCTGAAACCAAAACATGTGAGCTCTGAACAGTGACACATGAAGGTGAGTCTGGGTCACCCTCACATGCGTCTGAGCAGGTTGAGGGGGACCTTGACCCCTCATAACGTTTCGGTGTCTGTGATTCTAAACAGTTGTGGTGCAGATGTGTCATAATCAAATCTGAGAAAAGTAAAGAAACTAAAATATGTTTAATTGTGTGTGTGACTCTGCTTCATTTTGGAGAGAGAAACACCAATTGTCTCTCTCTGACACTCTCTCTGGTCTCACTCTGGTCTCTCTCCCTAGTCTCTCTCTTTCTGGTTTCTTTCTCTCTCTGGTCTCTCTTTTTCCCTGGTGTCTCTCTCTGGTTTCTTTCTCTCTCTGGTCCCTCTCTCTGGTTTCTTTTTCTCTCTGGTCTCTCTCTCTCTCTCTGGTCTCACTCTTTTTGTAGAGTTCGAGCCCAAAGGACAAAAGGGGTTTCCACAAACTATGACTTCACGACTAAACCAGGTCTGGACCAGGTCTGGATCGGTCTCTCTGATGTACACTTTTTTCTAGTCTTTTCTCTGCTACTGAAGTGATTTATGTTCACACCTGTTATACCACTGTCCCTGAAATATGAGTCCTGGTTCAGACCTGGGACTTCTTTCTCTCTCTAGTATCTCTCTCTCTCTCTGGTCTCTCTCTCTGGTCTCTCTTTCTGGCCTCTCTCTCACATGTTGGATTCACATCAGTGACTTTGAGGAAGTGATTATTCTGCAGTGCGGGCCCCAAGAGCAGGGAACTCTGGGAAACTCATCATACACACACACATACATATAGAGAGACACACACACACGCTTTGTAGAGTGTGTGTGCTAGTTTATCCAAGCCAAAATATTGAATGCTGTGTATCCCATCCCTGCCCTGCCTGGCACCTCCCCTCTCATCCTGGACTCAGTCTGACCTCACCTCAGCGCCAGGGAAGCGGCTGAAGGTCAAGTGTCTTTTGTTTCGCACAATAAACCAAGACTCATCCATCACTCCTGCTTCAGGGCGGATGTGGGTGAGGCTGCTGCCCCAGGGCAGATGTGCCTGAGGTTTGTGTCTGAAATCAAACCTAGGACCTTGTTGCTGTGAGCCACAAGCACCAATCTCAGTCTGACACATGTTTACAGTGAGAGGATCTATTTCTGTGGCTCATTCTTCACAGATCTGACTAAACCAGGAAATGGGTGGAGTCTGCTCTGCTCCTCTTGGTTCTGATAGAAAACCTGCAGCCACAGCCCTTTCTGGACTGGTTTGGACACCGGCATCACATGTGATGCTGTGGACTCTGAAGGGTGTAAATTAAGAAGGTCTTTCCTAACTGTCCCTAAAACCACTGTCGCCCTAAAACCCAGTAGGAGAAAAGTGGGAAACCTTGGGGAGGATTCAGGACCTCAGCTACAGGATGAGGACGAACACACAGCGGCCGCAAAACGTGGACAGGTCCGGTGCAGGACGGAAGCAATTCCCAGGCAGGTTGGGCAGGGCAACTCGCATGCGCAGATTGAGGGGGCCGGGTTTAGGGGTCCCACAATGGGACAATTGGTAAATAGCAGTGAACAGACTACAGTCAAAATCCTAATAATGCAGATCAAGTAGGAAGGAGGAGAGGATAGTGCTCAAGTTACTCTACTTCTCCCAGCAGACTGACTCCATCTGCAGCTTGACTGACAGTCTAAGATTTTTAGTCTTCCTTGATATACTGTATGATCCAGCATAGTTGTTTAGCAATAAGCTTTTCGAGAATTTTAGATATAAAAATAAGGTTTGAGATTGGTCTGAGGATCAAGGTTTTTTTTCAGAAGAGGTTTGATTCCTGCTGTTTTAAAAGCTTGTGGGACATAGCCACTTTGATAAGATGTACTTAGATAGGATCTATTATCTATTATTAAATGAAGTGTGTCTTTGAAAAGCCTCGACGGGATTGCATCTAAAATGCAAGTTGAGGTTTTAGAGTATGCAGTCATAGACATCACTTCCACTTGGTCCTCTCTAGTTTAGCATATGTTTGGGAAGGTAAGGCTCAGGGAAGGCTAAACTCCTCAGACTGTCAGTCAAGCTGCAGATGGAGTCAGTCTGCTGGGAGAAGTATGCTAACTTGAGCACTATCCTCTCCTCCTTCCTACTTTTTCTGTCTACTAACCCTAACCCTAACCCTAACCCTAACCCATTATTAGAATTTGGACTGTAGTCTGCTCATTGCGCGACAACGGGACCTCTGAACCTGGCCTCCTCCATCTACACCTGCGGACTGCCCTGCCTGAACAGCCTGGGAGTTGTTTCAGTCCTGCGCCAATCCTGTCCATGTCCTGCGGCCGCTGGGTGGCCCTGGTCCATGTTCTGTAGCTTAGGTCCTGGATCTATAGACCTTCTGTCCGTGTGGAGTCGATCCCTCTCTCAATGTGGATCTCCCCGAGTTTCTCACCTTTTTCCCACTGGGTTTTAGTGTTTTTCCTTGCCGATACAGGAGGGACTGTGATGATCCAGGACACTTTAACATTCTACAACTTGTATGACATTTATCAACATTCATGGACATTGTATGGACCAATACATATGTGTATTTTTTGTGTCTCAACTGTTTATTCTCTGATCTGTGTTGGTGATTTCAATGGTTTTGTTAAGTCCTCTGAGATGACTGCTGGTGTGATTTGAGGCTATACAAGAATAAATTGTATTTTACTGTCTTGTATTGTACTCGTTGAGGCGCACTGAAGAGTTTAAGTGGGACATTAAGTTTACTGCTTCAGCCTGTTCATCACTAATATCAGGATATTGGTATTTTATCATTAAAGAGGTGAAGAAAGTTGACACTGTGTGAGATTGGTATTATAGGTTTGATTGCACTATGACAGTTTGTGAGTTTAGAACCTCCTTGAAGTTTCGGGGACCTGCTCTCCACTCTCTGTGGATAGGTTCCGCGTGGGAGTGGCGACATCCAGTTTTCTAACGTTCTGTTTTATGCAGTTGGATATTATACCACTGCGACAATGATCTAATCCTAACAGTTTACTGTTTTATAGAAACTTCTGCATTTAATGCAGATTTCAAAGACTCCATAGTGATGTCCACAGTGCGGTCGTTGACCGAGGGACTGAAGCAGCTGTGAGCAGGTTCACCTGAAATGGCATTTGACACTGTATTAGTTCTCTGTGTTAGTTTATCCCGTGGTGCAGGAAGGTTTTTTAGCCTGAGATTAGACGTGATCAAGAAATGATCAGATTGTAACAGGTTCTGACGCAGTGCGTTAATACTGGAAACCTCACTATCGTATGTCAGGTCAATGTCCAGAGTGTGGTCATGAAAGTGAGTAGGTTCCTCAACCTTCTGAGTAAAACCAACACCGTCTAGAATGACGCTGAAAGCTTAAACTGTCGGTGCTGTCGTCCACATGTATATTGAAGTCTCCAGTTACAACTATGTTTTCCCATTCCAAAACTAGGTTTGAAATTAAGTCAACGAAGTCTGTTAGGAACTCACTGTAGGGACCAGGAGGTCAGTATAAAACTATAAATAACACTGCTTTTTGTTTTCTCCACCCAGGACAGGTGACTGAAAGCTAAATGCATTATTGGGTTTAAAGTGACTGTCTGCAGTTTGTCAGAAAGAGAGAGAGGTACTTGTTTTGGAAAAAACGACGCAAGCTCCTCCCCCTTCCTTTCTGATTGGTCTACACCTACGTTTCCGCAAAACTTTTAAATGTTAATCAGAGAACACATTATACATATACATTATTAATACACATGCACGGAGGATTTCAGAATTATTTGTAAACGTTTTACTGAAAAAAATAATATTTTTATGCATAAAAAAAGCGATCGCGGCAAACCAGGAAGTCTCTTTTTTTTTAGGACACATCTGCAGAGGATCTGATTATGAATATAAGTTCAGTATATAAATGATTATGGATATAAGTTCAGTATAAGTTCAGCCTATAAATGATTATGGACATAGGTTCAGTATATAAATGATTATAGATATAGGTTCAGTATATAAATGATTATAGATATAGGTTCAGTATATAAATGATTATGGATATAGGTTCAGTATATAAATTATTATGGATATAGGTTCAGTATATAAATGATTATAGATATAGGTTCAGTATATACATGATTATGGATATAGGTTCAGTATATACATGATTATGGATATAGGTTCAGTATATAAATGAGTAACTGCGCAAATGTTCAGAATTCTTTGTTCAGTTTTCATGTAGTTCCAGAGCCTAATAGAGGCTTGATTCGGAGGCTCCGCGAAAACAAACAACTGAGCATGAGCAGCTACGAGCATCAGCGCCGATGATTGACAGCCCTTGGCACGACTCGATTGGTTAGAATTAATAACCCATTTTTTATCAAAATTTGAGGCCAGGAGGTCAATTTAACACATTTCCTAAAATTTGTAATTCATTTAGAGTTCCAGACTATAACTTTAAGATTTAGAAGTAGGTTGGTGATATGATCGCAACACCGCCACCGCAACCTGTAGCTCTTGCTTTCTGGTAGATACCATGCGTCGGAAGTGCACTCATTCAATCTGACGTAGTCGTCTTGTTGGAGCCAAGTCTCAAATAGTGCAAGTAAATCCAAGTTGTTGTTTCTAATTTGTTATTTATTATTTTAGGCGCGATTTAGACAAGATTGATCTGACATTCCATAACCCGCATTTAACAACCCCTTGTTTTAGAACTATTTTTGTCTGTCTGAACTTTTATTAAGTTATTGTGTACTCAGATCCAAGTACCTAGATACAGATATAGTTAGTATCAGTGGGGGCGGGTCCCGGCTCAAAAGTGGCCAAAACGACGTGCGCTGACATGCTGCAATACCACCCCGGGCCGATGGGGGTGGACCCAGAATAAAAATTAGCCAATGCTAACATATAGCATTAGCTGACCTCTCAAAAACGTCTTTACAGGATGGTCCAAAAGTTGGCTCTTGGCCCAAAGCTCCGTTCCACATGTGTGTCAATGCTGAGGGGGGTGAATTTTTTTGGACCACTCTAGTTTAGCCGCTGTGAATTTTTGAAGTCTCTCGTTTAAATGAATGGGGCTCGTGCAGCTGACGCATGCGCAGTTGCGTTTTTTCACAATTTTCCAGCCCCCGCGGCCATTTTGAATCACTCCATGAAAGCCCAATTTTTGGCCCATTAGTTAGAACGGCGGAGATAGGCGTGACTACGTCCGTTAATATATATACGGTCTAGGGTTTGTACCCATAAAATAACAAAACCGTAAATTACTATAATATACCTTTTCTGTTACATTTACATTGACACAATAAAAACAATATGCCCTCTGCGTTAGAGTGAGGGAGGTGCAGCATCCTGCTGTGGAGGAGACTGTAATCAGAGTGTCTGCCTCCCTCATCATCATCACTGTCTCTGCCTCCCTCATCATCACTGTCTCTGCCTCCCTCATCATCATCACTGTCTCTGCCTCCCTCATCATCACTGTCTCTGCCTCCCTCATCATCATCACTGTCTCTGCCTCCCTCATCATCATCACTGTCTCTGCCTCCCTCATCATCACTGTCCCACAAGCCTCTGCAAAAAAAGACCTTCTGGACCTGGGAACCTTCTGGACCTGAGGACCTTCTGGACCTGAGAACCTTCTGGACCTGAGGACCTTCTGGACCTGAGAACCTTCTGGACCTGAGAACCTTCTGGACCTGAGGACCTTCTGCAGCTCTCTCTCTGGAACACATCAGGAACTCAGACTTCAGAATTTCAAATCACGGTCCAAAACTGCTGCCGGTCTGGTTTCCATGGCTACAGTACATTTTTACAGCATCCCAGGGTTCAGAAGATTCCCCAGGGCCTGGGCCTGGTTAAGACCTGGTTCAAACTTTGTTCAGACCTAGTTCAGACCTGGTTCAGTCTTAGTTCAGACCTCATTCAGACCTGGTCCAGTCCTGATTTATTCCTGGTCCTGGTCCTGTCTTAAATAAGTACTGATTCAGTCTTGGTGCTGGTCCACTCGTAATTCAGACCTGGTCTAGTTCTGGTCCAGTCCTGGTTTAGTCCTGGGTTGGTCCAGTCGTGGTCTAGTCCTGGTCCTGGTCCAGTCCTAATTCTGACCTGGTATAGATCTGATCCAGTTCTGGTCCAGTTCTGGTCCAGACTATGTCCAGTACCTGGTTTCAGCCAAGTCCAGATCGGGCTCAGCCGGGTTCAGAGCAGGTCCAGACCTGGTTCAGCACTAGTTCAGACCTGGTTCAGTGTTGGTTCAGTCCTGGGTCAGTCCTGGTTCAGACCTGGGGGAGTCCTGGTTCAGACCTGATTCAGACCTGGTGCAGACCTGGTTCAGACCTGGTTCGGTACTGGTTCAGACCTTGCTAAGACCTGGTTCCGATTTGGTCCAGTCCTGGTCCAGTCTTGAATTAGACCTGGTTCAGACCTGGTTAAGACCTGGTTCACAGCTGGTCCAGATCTGGTCCTGATCTGGTCCAAACCTGGTTCAGACCTTGCTCAGACCTGGTTCAGATTTGGTCCAGTCCTGGTCCAGTCTTGAATTAGACCTGGTTCAGACCTGGTAAAGACCTGGTTCACACCTGGTCCAGACCCGATCCAGACCTGACCTTATTGTGTACTCACCAGTTCAGGACCAGGACCTGAACCAGTCCTGGTTCAGTCCTGGTCCTGATTTAGTCCTGGTTCTAATCCAGTCCTGGTTCTGATTTAGTCCTGGTTTTGGTTCAGACCTAGTTCAGTCCTGGTTCAGTCCTTCTCTGTCATTATCAGCTCCTCCTCTTCATAATTAGAGACTCAATAAAACCAGACCACAAGCACCTGCAGCAGAAACTAGGACCAGGACCAGGACTGGACCAGAACCAGGTCTGAACAAGGACCGGACCAGGACTGCACCAGAACTGAACCAGGACTGGACCCGAACCAGGACTGTCCCAGGACTGAAGTTGGAAGACCAGGAGAAAAACCAGGGTGTGTGTGTGTGTGTGTGTGTGTGTATGTGCGTGTGTGTGTGTGTGTGTGTGTGTGTGTGTGTGTGTGTGTGTGTGTGTGTGTGTTTTATAAATGACCCTTCATAAACAGGACGTGTAGAAGTGACTGCTGCCTAAAAATAAAACAGGATCAAAGGAGCAAATGTACCGCTGTCCCTCCTAGCCCCGCCCCCTGCCCCTCTAGCCCCACCCAACACGCCTCCTGCCCCGCCCCCTGCGCTTCTCTCTCTCCCTCTCTCTCTCACAGTCAGAGCAGAGAGACGTGCAGCTCCGTCAGAGGAACCAAAGGAACCAGAAGAACCAGGCCACGAGAGTCTGAGACCTAAGTCTGGAACCACAGTCTGAGGACCACAGTTTGAGGACCACAGTCTGAGAACCACAGTCTGAGGACCACAGTCTGAGAACCACAGTCTGAGGACCACAGTCTGAGAACCACAGTTTGAGGACCACAGTCTGAGGACCACAGTCTGGAGACCACAGTTTAAGGACCAAAGTCTGAGGACCAAGGTCTGGAAACCACAGTCTGAGGACCAACGTCTGGGGACCATAGTTTGGAGACCACAGTCTGAGGACCACAGTTTGAGGACCACAGTCTGGAGACCCTATGCTTCTTCACTCGTTACTCCTGGAGCTCTATGGATAAGCGCAGGAGCCACTTTCACAACTTCACAAACGCTTGAGGAAATTTATTCTGCTTTTATTTTGCATCGTTCATCGTGTCTTTGGTGCGAGGCTTTTCTGAGGATACTCTGATCTGGACCTGGACCTGAACCATGGATGGAAGGAGTCAGGGCACTACGGAGAGGATATAAGTTGGATTTGAAGTTAAAATGCTAAGGACGATAGGATCCAAGGACACAAAGACAATAAAAACAGACCGGTAGGATACATATAGACAAGGAGATAGGGGCTAGGAGACGAAGAGATAGGACACAAGGGGCCTTAGAGACAAGGAGATAGGACACTCATCGAAAAGGCACATATAGTTTGGGATTGCTCTCATGCCACAGTGATCTTTGGATCTGGTGTAGACCTTTTTTTTAACCTGGTTTAGACCTGGTTTAGACCTGGTGTAGCCCTGGTGTAGACCTTGGTTAGACCTGGGTTAGACCTGGTGTAGACCTGGTTTAGACCTGGTTTAGACCTCATGTGGATTTGGGAGGATCCTTCAGAGATGCAGCTTCAGTCCAAACCCGGAGCAGAGCCCAGAGTCTGGGCTGGGAGCGCGCTGGTGCTGACCGCGTGCACGTGTTTGTCGCTGGTGTGCGCGCTGTTGTGTGCGCTGGCCCTGGCTCACTGTGCGCGGCTGGACGAGCGGCTGGACGAGCGGCTGGACGCGCGGCTGGACGCGCGGCTGGACGCGCAATTAAACGCGCGGTTGGAGCTGCTGCTGGAACAGGTCAGTGTTCAGTGCATTGAACTGGTCTGGTCTGGCTTTAATCTGGGTCTGGTATGGTCTGGTTTCATTTGATCTGGGTCTGGTATGGTATGGTCTGGTCTAATCTGGGTCTGGTCTGGGTCTGGGTCAGGGACTGGTCTGGGTTGGATCTGGAATGGTCTGGTCTGGGTCAGGTCTCTGGGTCAGGTCTGGGATTGGGTCTGGTCTGGGATTGGGTCTGGTCTGGGTCAGGGACTGGTCCTTGTCTGATCTGGGTCTGTGTTTGGTCTGTGTCTGGGTCTGGGTCTGACCCAGAACCAGGACCAAATACCAAGACAAAAGACCAAGACAAAAGTCCTGTATGTGGTTTTGAGCGTATAAGTTGCTCTCTCTAATTCTATAGTTTTATGAAGGAGGCCCGAGCTGATTGGTCAATCACAGAGACATGTGATTGGTTGGCTGGTAAACCAGAGAGAGACCAGAGAGAGACCAGAGAGAGACCTGAGACCAGAGAGAGACCAGAGAGAGACCAGAGAGAGACCTGAGAGAGACCAGAGAGAGACCAGAGAGAGACCTGAGACCAGAGAGAGACCAGAGAGAGACCAGAGAGAGACCTGAGAGAGACCAGAGAGAGACCAGAGAGAGACCTGAGAGAGACCAGAGAGAGACCTGAGACCAGAGAGAGACCAGAGAGAGACCTGAGACCAGAGAGAGACCTGAGAGAGACCAGAGAGAGACCTGAGAGAGACCAGAGAGAGACCTGAGAGAGACCAGAGAGAGACCAGAGAGAGACCAGACAGAGACCAGACAGAGACCTGAGAGAGAGATCAGAGAGAGACCAGAGAGAGACCTGAGAGAGACCAGACAGAGAACAGACAGAGACCAGAGAGAGACCTGAGAGAGACCAGAGAGAGACCAGAGAGAGACCTGAGAGAGACCAGACAGAGACCTGAGAAAGACCAGAGAGAGACCTGAGAGAGACCAGAGAGAGAGACCAGAGAGAGACCAGAGAGAGACCAGAGAGAGACCTGAGACCTCAGCGAGACCAGAGAGAGACCAGAGAGAGACCAGAGAGAGAGACAAGAGAGAGACTTGAGAGAGACCAGAGAGAGACCAGAGAGAGACCAGAGAGAGACCAGAGAGAGACCTGAGAGAGACCAGAGAGAGAGACCAGAAAGAGACCAGAGAGAGACCTGAGAGAGACCAGAGAGAGACCAGAGAGAGACCAGAGGGAGTCTTTGGTTCCCGCGCCCTCACAGATGTCTCTTTGCAGTAAAAACAGCCTCAGACTCATTTGGGCCATTTGCTCCAATTTAACACTTTCACCACAAATGTTTGGTGTTTTCCCACACACACACACACACACACACACACATGCACACATGCACACACACACTCTCACACATGCACGCACACACACACACACACAAAATCAGCTAATACGTCAAGGCAAGTTTATTTATCTGGCACAGTTCAGAAGGCCACTCAAAGATAAAACAATATAGAAAATACAACATGGAAAATATTCACTGTTCTCACGACCCCTGTTGTTGCAGAAACAGAACTGCTTTTTAGCTTGGATTTGATCCTTGTCAGAGAAGAAGTCTGTCTCACATCTTCAGGAAGACTGTTTGAGATTTTAGCCGCATAAATCTGAAACACTGCCTCCTCATGTTTAGTCCTGACTCTGGGACAAGCAGGAGGCCAGTCCCTGTGCTCCTCAGGATAACCTGAGACCAGGACTAATGTGAGAGGACTTCAGGACAGAGACCTGAGACCAGGACTAATGTGAGAGGACTTCAGGACAGAGACCTGAGACCAGGACTAATGTGAGAGGACTTCAGGACAGAGACCTGAGACCAGGACTAATGTGAGAGGACTTCAGGACAGAGACCTGAGACCAGGACTAATGTGAGAGGACTTCAGGACAGAGACCTGAGACCAGGACTAATGTGAGAGGACTTCAGGACAGAGACCTGAGACCAGGACTAATGTGAGAGGACTTCAGGAAAGAGACCTGAGACCAGGACTAATGTGAGAGGACTTCAGGACAGAGACCTGAGACCAGGACTAATGTGAGAGGACTTCAGGACAGAGACCTGAGACCAGGACTAATGTGAGAGGACTTCAGGAAAGAGACCTGAGACCAGGACTAATGTGAGAGGACTTCAGGACAGAGACCTGAGACCAGGACTAATGTGAGAGGACTTCAGGACAGAGACCTGAGACCAGGACTAATGTGAGAGGACTTTAGGACAGAGACCTGAGACCAGGACTAATGTGAGAGGACTTCAGGGCAGAGACCTGAGACCAGGACTAATGTGAGAGGACTTCAGGACAGAGACCTGAGACCAGGACTAATGTGAGAGGACTTCAGGGCAGAGACCTGAGACCAGGACTAATGTGAGAGGACTTCAGGACAGAGACCTGAGACCAGGACTAATGTGAGAGGACTTCAGGACAGAGACTTGAGACCAGGACTAATGTGAGAGGACTTCAGGACAGAGACCTGAGACCAGGACTAATGTGAGAGGACTTCAGGACAGAGACCTGAGACCAGGACTAATGTGAGAGGACTTCAGGACAGTGACGAGACCAGGACTAATGTGAGAGGACTTCAGGACAGAGACCTGAGACAAGGACTAATGTGAGAGGACTTCAGGACAGAGACCTGAGACCAGGACTAATGTGAGAGGACTTCAGGACAGAGACCTGAGACCAGGACTAATGTGAGAGAACTTCAGGACAGAGACCTGAGACCAGGACTAATGTGAGAGGACTTCAGGACAGAGACCTGAGAACAGGGCTAATGTGAGAGGACTTCAGGACAGAGACCTGAGACCAGGACTAATGTGAGAGGATTTCAGGACAGAGACTTGAGACCAGGACTAATTGGAGAGGACTTCAGGACAGAGACCTGAGACCAGGACTAATATGAGAGGACTTCAGGACAGAGACCTGTTGCAGTCTGAGACTGGAGACAAAAGCAGAAGTAGGATCAAAGTCCGCTTTAGAAACTGTATTTTGGATTCTGGTGTTTTTAGGCGGTGATAAAAAGCTGCTGTCACTGATTTGAGGTGATATTAAAGTGTAGGTCTGAGTCCAGTTTTACTCCTGTGGGTTTCTGACCTGGTCTGGAGGTTTTAGGGACAGGGACTGGAGGAGACAGACTGGAGGAGGACCAAGACAATCTCAGTTTAGTCGAAGGAAGTGGTTTTCATCCACTCACTGGTCTGTTGGATGAAGGAGTGAGTCCTCTGGTCCATGTCCTCCTGTCTCAGTGAGTCCTCTGGTCCATGTCCTCCTGTCTCAGTGAGTCCTCTGGTCCATGTCCTCCTGTCTCAGTGAGTCCTCTGGTCCATGTCCTCCTGTCTCATTGAGTCCTCTGGTCCATGTCCTCCTGTCTCAGTGAGTCCTCTGGTCCATGTCCTGTCTTAGTGAGTCCTCTGGTCCATGTCCTCCTGTCTCAGTGAGTCCTCTGGTCCATGTCCTCCTGTCTCAGTTAGTCCTCTGGTCCATGTCCTCCTGTCTCAGTGAGTCCTCTGGTCCATGTCCTCCTGTCTCAGTGAGTCCTCTGGTCCATGTCCTCCTGTCTCAGTGAGTCCTCTGGTCCATGTCCTCCTGTCTCAGTGAGTCCTCTGGTCCATGTCCTCCTGTCTCAGTGAGTCCTCTGTCTCAGTGAGTCCTCTGGTCCATGTCCTCCTGTCTCAGTGAGTCCTCTGGTCCATGTCCTCCTGTCTCAGTGAGTCCTCTGGTCCATGTCCTCTTGTCTCAGTGAGTCCTCTGGTCCATGTCCTCCTGTCTCAGTGAGTCCTCTGGTCCATGTCCTCCTGTCTCAGTGAGTCCTCTGGTCCATGTCCTCCTGTCTCAGTGAGTCCTCTGGTCCATGTCCTCCTGTCTCAGTGAGTCCTCTGGTCCATGTCCTCCGTTCAGTCTCTTGATGCAAAGCTCACAGGATTGGAGGAGAGGGAAATCCACACGCAACAGCTCAGATGTGAATACTTTTTAGGCGCTATTTGACCTGGTTCAGTCCTGGTCTAGTCCTGGTTTAGTCCTGTTTTAGTCCTGGCTTAGTCCTGGTTCAGGACTGGTGTTGAACTAGTGTAGTCCTGGGTTAGACTTGGTTTAGTCCTACTTTAGTCCTGGTTTAGTCCTACTTTAGACCTTGTTTAGTCCTACTTTAGTCCTGGTTTAGTCCTACTTTAGACCTTGTTTAGTCCTGGTTTAGTCCCGGTTTAGACCCCATTTAGTTCTTTGTTAGACCAAGTTTAGTCCTAGTTTAGACCTGGATTAGACCTGATTTATACCTGTTTAATCCTAGATAAATCCTAGTTTTTTCCTGCTTTTGTCCTGGATTAGACCTGGATTAGACCTGGATTAGACTTGGTTTAGACATAGTTTAGTCCTGGTTTAGATCTAGTTTAGTCCTGGTTTAGTCCGGGTTCAGCTCGGTCTTGGAGGTGGATATCTTTAGCAGTATTGTTTGTGTAGAGCAGCTGTTCAGTCTCTTTTGAGTGCGCTCCAGATTCTCAGACATGGGGGTCCAGCCTCACACAGACATTTTGGCACAAATGTAAAGCAAATCCACCACTGTCTGTAATCTGAAGCTCTGCAGCGCCCCCAGTGGCTCAGTTTCATATTTAGGACATTGGAATAATCATTGATTGGAATATAAAGGAAATTATTAAAAAAATATGTTTTATAGGATGGTAGGGGAGAGTGTACATGTGTTTTATAGGATGGTAGGGGAGAGTGTACTTATGTTTTATAGGATGGTAGGGGAGAGTGTACATGTGTTTTATAGGATGGTAGGGGAGAGTGTACATGTGTTTTATAGGATGGTAGGGGAGAGTGTACATGTGTTTTATAGGATGGTAGAGGAGAGTGTACATATGTTTTATAGGATGGTAGAGGAGAGTGTGCATGTGTTTTATAGGATGGTAGAGGAGAGTGTGCATGTTTTTTATAGGATGGTAGAGGAGAGTGTACATGTGTTTTATAGGATGGTAGGGGAGAGTGTGCATATGTTTTATAGGATGGTAGAGGAGAGTGTGCATGTGTTTTATAGGATGGTAGAGGAGAGTGTGCATGTTTTTTATAGGATGGTAGAGGAGAGTGTACATGTGTTTTATAGGATGGTAGAGGAGAGTGTGCTTGTTTTTTATAGGATGGTAGAGGAGAGTGTACATGTGTTTTATAGGATGGTAGAGGAGAGTGTACTTGTGTTTTATAGGATGGTAGAGGAGAGTGTACTTGTGTTTTATAGGATGGTAGAGGAGAGTGAACATGTGTTTTATAGGATGGTAGAGGAGAGTGTGCATATGTTTTATAGGATGGTAAGGGAGAGTGTGCATATGTTTTATAGGATGGTAGGGGAGAGTGTACATATGTTTTATAGGATGGTAGAGGAGAGTGTACAGGTGTTTTATAGGATGGTAGGGGGGAGTGTACTTGTGTTTTATAGGATGGTAGAGGAGAGTGAACATGTGTTTTATAGGATGGTAGGGGAGAGTGAACATGTGTTTTATAGGATGGTAGGGGAGAGTGTACATGTGTTTTATAGGATGGTAGAGTAGAGTGTACATATGTTTTATAGGATGGTAAGGGAGAGTGAACATGTGTTTTATAGGATGGTAGAGGAGAGTGTACATATGTTTTATAGGATGGTAGAGGAGAGTGAACATGTGTTTTATAGGATGGTAGGGGAGAGTGAACATGCGTTTTATAGGATGGTAGAGGAGAGTGTACATATGTTTTATAGGATGGTAGGGGAGAGTGTACTTGTGTTTTATAGGATGGTAGAGGAGAGTGTACTTGTGTTTTATAGGATGGTAGAGGAGAGTGTACATGTGTTTTATAGGATGGTAAGGGAGAGTGTGCATATGTTTTATAGGATGGTAGAGGAGAGTGTACATGTGTTTTATAGGATGGTAAGGGAGAGTGTACATATGTTTTATAGGATGGTAGGGGAGAGTGTGCATGTGTTTTATAGGATGGTAAGGGAGAGTGCATATGTTTTATAGGATGGTAGGGGAGAGTGTACATATGTTTTATAGGATGGTAGAGGAGAGTGTACTTGTGTTTTATAGGATGGTAGGGGAGAGTGTACATATGTTTTATAGGATGGTAGAGGAGAGTGTACTTGTGTTTTATAGGATGGTAGAGGAGAGTGGACATGTGTTTTATAGGATGGGAGGGGAGAGTTTACATATGTTTTATAGGATGGTAGAGGAGAGTGTACATATGTTTTATAGGATGGTAGGGGAGAGTGTGCATGTGTTTTATAGGATGGTAAGGGAGAGTGAACATGTGTTTTATAGGATGGTAGAGGAGAGTGTACATATGTTTTATAGGATGGTAGAGGAGAGTGTACATATGTTTTATAGGATGGTAGGGGAGAGTGTACATATGTTTTATAGGATGGTAGAGGAGAGTGTGCATGTGTTTTATAAGATGGTAAGGGAGAGTGAACATGTGTTTCATAGGATGGTAGGGGAGAGTGTACATATGTTTTATAGGATGGTAGAGGAGAGTGTGCATATGTTTTATAGGATGGTAGAGGAGAGTGTACATATGTTTTATAGGAAGGTATGGGAGAGTGTACATGTGTTTTATAGGATTGTAGGGGTGAGTGTGATTGTGTTTTATAGGATGGTGGGGGAGAGCAATGTAAACCAGACCATGCTTATTTGTTTCTCAGTGACTGAAAACGATGTGTATTGTGATCTCCGAAAGGCACTTTATGAATGAGCGAGATGCAGCTGCCGCTCAGCCTCCTGGGAAATGTAGTGTAGAGTGAGGTCAGTAAGGAACACTGCATTCTGGGAGCACGGCGCCTCTGAAGTGAAACCCGAGTCTGGACTGAGGACTTCTGACCCAGGAGTTTAAACATAGTACTTTAGACATAATACTTAAGACATAGTACTTTAGACATAGGACTTCAGACATAGGACTTCAGACATATAGGACTTTAGACATAGGACCTTAGACATAGGACCCTGAACATATTACTTTAGACATACGACTTTGACATAGGACTTTACACATAGGACTTTAGAAATAGGACCTTAGACATAGGACCTTAGACATAGTACTTCAGGCATAAGACCTTGGCATAGGTTTTTAAACGTAGGTTATTATACATTAGACGTATGACAGCAATAAGGTGTGTATGTGTGTGTGTCTGTCTGTCTGTGTGTACATGTGTTTATTTGTGCGTGTGTGTGTGTATTTGTATGTGTGTGTGTGTGTGTGTGTGTGTGTGTGTGAATAGGATGGGACAGAGACCCCATCCCTGAGGAACCCCTTGTTTCCAGGATTCTTCAAAAAGTTACGTCCTTGAGCTTTAGTTTGTCACATGTGTCTGAGAGCTGCTGAGTGTCACTTCCTGTTCTTAACGACTCAACTGAGAACGCTCCAATCACCACCTCCAACCCTGAGAAAGACCAGGACCGGGACCAGGACCAGGACCAGGACCGAGACCAGGACTGAGACCAGGACTGAGACCAGGACCAGCTCCAGGACCGGAAACAGGACCAGGATCGGGAAAAGATGCAGGACTGAGACCAGGATTGGGACCAGGACCAGGACCAGGACTGGGACCAGGACCAGAGACCAAAGACCAAGACCAGGGATCGGGACCAAGACCAGAGACCAAAAGCCAAGGCCATAAACCAAATAAAAGGACAAAAGACCTGGGAAAAACCAAGCGAGGCTGAGAGTTGCTTGTTTAATCTATGAAACCTTTTTGTTTCCATAGAAACTATCGGAGCGTTTACCGAAGACACGGGAAGCTCGAGACGCTTCCTTCAACTGTCTCTGTCCACCAGGTGAGAACCTGACATGGTATTGTATGCCCTGTATCCATACATGTCTGGTCTTTGATTTCTCTCTGGTCTCTCTGGTCTCTCTCTGGTCTCTCTCTGGTCTCTCTCTGGTCTGTCTCTGGTCTCTCTCTCTGGTCTGTCTGGTCCCTCTCTGGTCTGTCTTTGGTCTCTCTCAGGTCTCTCTCTGGTCCCTCGCTGGTCCCTTTCTGATTTCTCTCTGGTCCCTCTTTCGTCTTTCTCTGGTCACTCTTTGGTCCATCTCTGGTCTCTCTCTGGTCTGTCTCTGGTCTCTCCCTCTGATGTCTCTCTCTGGTCTGTCTGGTCCAGACCCTTTCTGGTCTCTCTCTGGTCTGTCTCTGGTATCTCCCTCTGGTGTCTCTCTCTTGTCTGTCTGGTCCCTTTCTGGTCTGTCTCTGGTCTCTCTCTGGTCCCTCTCTGGTCTCTTTCTGGTCCCTCTGTAGTCTCTTTCTGATCTCTCTCTGGTTGCTCTTTGGTCCATCTCTGGTCTCTCTCTTGCTCCCTCTCTGGTCCCTCTCTGGTCCGTCTCTGGTCCCTCTCTGGTCACTCACTGGTCTGTCTCTGGTCTCTCTCTGGTCCCTCTCTGGTCTGTCCCTGGTCCCTCTCTGGTCTGTCTCTGGTCTCTCCCTCTGGTGTCTCTCTCTGGTCTGTCTGGTCCCTTTCTGGTCTGTCTCTGGTCTCTCTCTGGTCTCTCTCTGGTCTCTCTCTGGTCTCTCTCTGGTCCCTCGCTGGTCCCTGTCTGGTCTCTTTCTGGTCCCTCTGTAGTCTCTTTCTGATCTCTCTCTGGTCGCTCTTTGGTCCCTCTCTGGTCTCTCACTGGTCTGTCTCTGGTCTCTCTCTGGTCCCTCTCTGGTCTGTCCCTGGTCCCTCTCTGGTCTGTCTCTGGTCACTTTTTGGTCCCTCTTGAGTCTCTCTCTGGTCTCTCTCTGGTCTCTCTCTGGTCTCTCTCTGGTCACTCTTTGGTTCCTCTCTGGTCTCTCTCTGGTCATTCTTTGGTTCCTCTCTGGTCTCTCTCTGGTCTCTGGTTTGAGTGACAGGGGCTTAGCTGCTGCTGGACACAAATAACCTCAGAGTCAGGGACAGGAAGGACAAACACATGTCTGCATTCTTCACGGGACTAAGGGGGGAGAAGGGGGAGGCTGAGGGGAGGTGGGCGGTGGGGATCTGGGAGTGGGGGGACAGGTTGAGGCTGAGGGGGGAGACTTGTGTGGCCATACTTGCATGCAAGATCCCATCAGACCTGAAGCTGTGCAGGGCAGGGCCTGGTTAGTACTGTGATGGGAGACATCCCGGAAAACCAGGTGGCACAGTGGGGCAGCTGCGGCTGTAAAGTGCCAAACTGTGGTTGTGTCCTTAGGCAAGAATGAGTCTGATGTGTGTGTGAATTGTTAGTGGTGGTGGGAGGGGCCGATGGCACAGACTGGTTGCCTCATTTCTGTCTGTGTGACTCAGGGCAACTGTGGCTACAGTAGTAGTTTATCACTGATGTGTATGGAGTGAGAGAATAATGACATGTAAAGCGCTATATAAAACCATCCATCCATCCATCCATCCATTTTCTTCCCCTTAATCGATTTCTGGGTCGGGGGGGTGGCAGTCAGAGCACCCAGTACACTTAGCACCAGCCCCTCACTGATCCTCCTGCAGGTGGTGAGTCCACAGGAGCTGAGATCTTTCAGTGGGAGCTTCAGGCAAAGTGGGGTTAAGTGTCTTGCCCAAGGACACAACGACAGCAGTCATCAGTATATAAAACCATGAGATATTATTATATTATTACTCATTATATGCTCGATTTGAATGTCATTTCAAAACGTTCTACCAGTCATTATTTCTCGATAACAAACCAATAATAACCGCTGCCCTTTGGCAACGTAATTTTTGCTTGTAATTCAGGTGTGTAAAATCAAACCAGTAGTAGTGGGGGGTGGGGTGGGATCTTGTTGACGTAGTAGTCCGGCCACTCCGTCAACAAGGTTCTGGAAATATATAACGTTACCGTATAAATGCTATCTCTGCTCAATAAACACAGATAACCATCAATCAACACATTTAAATGTTAATTGGATAATGCATTATATATATATATATATACACATCCTTCACACACAATTCTGTTTTAATCCGGAATGAACCATTAACATAGCTAAAAAAATTAGACCGCATTTGCAGAGGATCTGATAATCGATTTAGGTTGAGTTTATGTGTTGGTCACTCACTGCTGATGTTCACAATTCTTTTTTCAGTTTTCAAGTACATTAGTTCGAGAGAGTTCTAGTTCTGAAGTAGCTAGCCTAGCTGTTACTGGCCTAGCTGTTACTAGCCTAGATGTTACCCAGTCACGACACGGCCAAACCTTTAGGAACTATTTTATTTGCAGTCATTAAACAAACTTTTCAGCATTCATAAAAGTGAACTGAAGTTTATTTTGTGTGTTCAGTTTTTACAAAGGACGGAGGCTTATGGGGACTGGGGGATGGAGACTTATAGGGACTGGGGGATGGAGACTTATGAGGACTGAGGGATGGAGACTTATGAGACAGGATGGAGACTTATGAGGACTGGGGGATGGAGACTTATGAGACAGGATGGAGACTTATGAGAACTGAGGGATGGAGACTTATGAGGACTGGGGGATGGAGACTTATGGGGACTGGGGGATGGAGACTTATGAGAACTGAGGGATGGAGACTTATGAGGACTGGGGATGGAGACTTATGAGGACTGGGGGATGGAGACTTATGAGGACTGAGGGATGAAAACATGTATGTGTATTGTGTTGTATGTGTATTGTGTTGTGTTTGTTGTATGTGTGTGTGTGTGTGTGTTGTGTTTGTTGTATGTGTGTGTGTGTTTATGTGTGTGTGTTTGCTGTGTTGTGTGTGAGTGTTTGTTGTGTGTGTGTTGTGTGTGTGTGTGTGAGTGTTGTGTGTGTTCCCTGAGTTATTCCCGGCTCTGACCTTGACGAGCACTGACAGAAAGAGATCCACTTTCAGAGACACGATTAGACCTCAGCTGCTGTAGGCCAGGCCTGAACCAGGGCTAAACCAGGTCTGAACCAGGTTGGAACCAGGTCTGAACCAGGTCTGAACTAGGTCTGGACCAGGTCTGAACCAGGTCGAAACCAGGTCTGAACCGGGCCTGAACCAAGACCAGGACATAGCCTGTTTTGTTAATGTAAAGAAAAAGTATGTGGAGAAAGACCCTGTTCACTGAGTGTCGTAGGGACTGAATCAGTGGAAGGCTGAGATCCTGGTCCTGATCCTCTCCTGGTCCTGATCCTCTCCTGGTCCTGGTTGCATTTCTATCAGAGTTCCTGGTAAAAGAAATGGTGTATGACAGCTACAGGAACCGTCCTCTCACTCGGCCTCTCAGTGTCTCCACTGCAGAGTAGGATCCCTCTGCGACATCTTGAGTTTTGATCGCGACGTAATCAATAATTATTTATTTTATGGTCGGTTGTGGTCTTTGAGTTTTTTATAGTTCTGCTTAAGTTTTGTGTTACTAGGCACGGCATTGTTTCTGAGTGTGATAAATCCCCAGTGCTTCGAGGTGAACCGGATATAGCTTTTCATTTCGCCCCGATGAATTTCTTTGGTGCTGTAGAAATTGCCTTCGCCTCATCATCCGTCCATTTATCGTCAGTTTTGCTGTTGTAGTTTGCTGTTTACAGTGGTGTCTGCTGGGAAAATGCTGCTGGATATTTTAAATGCTGGTTTTTTGGTGCTTTCTGCTGGCGTCAGAGCCTGCTCTAGCTTTAGCCAATCAGCGCAGGGTTAACCTCAAGCCCCACCAGGAGCTGTTCAGGGCCGAACGAAGTACCTAGCATGGAGGTGCTTAGTTCCCGTAAAAGTTCCAGGAAATGGCCCTGTGGTGGAGGTTCCTGCAGTGGAGACGGGGCTGGCCCTGAAAAGTTACCCCGAAGTTCCTGCGGTGGAAACGGGACTCTTGTTTCTTGTACTGGTGTTCTCTTAGCTTCTGGTCCTCTCCTGGTCCTCTCTTGGTCCTCTCCTGGCCCTCTCCTGGACCTCTCCTGGTCCTGGTTTCTGGTCCTGGATTGAGTAATGTGAATGAATCAAAAAAAAGAAAAATAACTGTATTTTCCAAATCTCTTAAAAAGGCTTAATTCATTCATTCATTCATTCAAGTTAAATTGACATTTCCCCCAGGCCCCTACTGCTCAGGTCCCCGCAGCCTCAGGTCTCCCCCTCACCTTCAGGTCTCTCCCTCTGCCTCAGGTCTCTCCCTCAGCCTCAGGTCTCCCCCTCACCCTCAGGTCTCCCCTTCCGCTTCAGGTCTCCCCCTTAGCCTCAGGTCTTCCGCTCAGCCTCAGGTCTCTTTCAGTTCCCCTTCTCCCCCTTCTCAGGTCCCCCCCCCCTCCGCCTCAGGTCTCCTCCTCCGCCTCAGGTCTCCCCTCAGCCTCAGGTCTCTCCCTCAGCCTCAGGTCTCTCCCTCAGCCTCAGGTCTCTCCCTCAGCTTCAGGTCTCTCCCTCAGCCTCAGGTCTCCCCGTCAGCCTCAGGTCTCAGCCTCAGGTCTCAGCCTCAGGTCTCAGCCTCAGGTCTCTCCCTCAGCCTCAGGTCTCCCCCTGCAGCCTCAAGTCTCTCCCTCAGCCTCAGGTCTCCCCCTTAGCCTCAGGTCTCCCCCTCAGCCTCAGGACTCTCCCTCAGCCTCAGGTCTCCCCCTCTTTAGTCTGGAAACACTTAGAGGAACAGAAGCTTGGTTTGTCTCCCCCCTCCACCCCTCCACCACACCTACCGCCCACGGCCCAAAGCTCTAAGGACCCTCACTCACCGTCATAAGCTCAAAGAGTCAGATAGTGACTGTCAGGGTCAGAGTTATAGCTCTTTCTTACACCAAAGATAACAACAATGTGTGTCCAATTTGTTATTTATGAGACTAAAGTTACATACTGAGGTATTGAAGTAGTGGTAGTATTAGTAGTAGTAGTAGTGGTAGTAGTAGTAGTAGTAGTAGTAGTGGTAGTAGTAGTAGTAGTAGTAGAAGTAGTGCAACTATACTTCTACAACTCATTTTGCTTCATTTTTGTTGTTTCTGCTATGGTGTAAAACTTGAGCCGCTGTGGAGCCACAAGAATGTGATGAGTTTAACAGATCTGAGTCTGATACTGCTGCTGCTACTACTGCTGCTACTGCTACTGCTGCTGCTACTACTACTGCTACTGCTGCTGCTACTACTACTGCTGCTGCTGCTGCTTCTGCTGCCATTCTAACACAGCACGATGCTGCCCCTCCCTCACACGGAACTCTGATCGTCTCTTATTCCAATGAAGTTTATGCACATTGAGAAACCGAAGATCCTGTTTATTAGATGTACTTTCCTTCCTCCTTTTCCCACCCCCTCTCTCCCTTTCCCTCTCTCCCTCTCTCCTCTTTCATCTCCCTCCCTCATCCTCTCCTCTCTCCCCCTCCTCCCTCTTCTACTGCCTCTCCTTTTCCTCTCTCCCTCACTCTCTCTTTCCTCCATCCCTTCTTCTACCCCTCTCTCCTCCTTCAACCTTCTCTCTCCCCCTTCACCTCCCTCCCTCTCTACCCTTCCCTCTCTCCCCCATCACTCTGTGCCCCCCCCCCACTCGCCTCACCCCTTCCCCTTCCAGGTACTCCTCCTGTCCCGGTTTTGACCCGAACTCTTAAGTATTTTCTCAGAGCTGAAAGGAATGTGCTTCTGTTCAGAAAAACACAAAAACAGAAAATGCCGAAAAAACCCACAGAAACACACACACCTACACAGACACACACATACACACATGCATACACAGACACACGCATACACACATACACACACGCATACACAGACACACGCATACACACATACACACACACATACACACACGCATACACAGACACACGCATACACACATACACAGACACATACACACATACACACACGCATACACACGCACACACACATACACAGACACACACATACACATAAACACACACGCATACACACACGCATACACAGACACACACATACACAGACACACATGCACATAAACACACAAACATACATACAAACACACAGACTCACGCACACAAACATATTTCAGAGTTATATACTACTCGGTTTTTTGTTTCTGCTCTTGTGGAAAGTTAACATTGGCAATCCTCTGGTCTCTCTCTGGTCTCTCTCTGGTCTCTCTCTGGTCTCTCTCTGGTCTCTCTCTAGTCTCTCTCTGGTATCTCTCTGGTCTCTCTCTGGACTCTCTCTGGTCTCTCTCTGGTCTCTCTCTGGTCTATCTCTGGTCTCTCTCTGGTCTCTCTCTAGTCTCTCTCTGGTATCTCTCTGGTCTCTCTCTGGTCTCTCTGGTCTCTCTCTGGTCTCTCTCTGGTCTCTCTCTGGTCTCTCTCTCTGGTCTCTCTCTGGTCTCTCCCTAGTCTCTCTCTCTGTTCTCTCTCTGTTCTCTCTCTCTCTGTGCTCCCTCTGGTCTCTCTCTGGTCTCTCCCTAGTCCCTCTTTCTGGTCTCTCTCTGGTCTCTCTCTGGTCTCTCCCTGGTCTCTATCTGGTCTCTCTCTGGTCTCTCTCCCTGGTCTCTCCCTGGTCTCTCCCTGGTCTCTCTCTGGTCTCTCCCTGGTCTCTCTCTGGTCTCTCCCTGGTCTCTCCCTGGTCTCTCTCTGGTCTCTCTCTGGTCTCTGGTCTTGTCTCTGACCTTTGGTGAATAATGCCCAGGTGGAGTTTCCTGCACTTATGATCCCGACCATGGACCTTGGTTTAGTCCCACCCTGGTCTTCTGCAATACTGCAATCCAACCTGGTTCAGACCTGGTTTAGTCCTGGTTTCATCCTGGTTCAGACTTGGTTCAGACCTCGTTTTTGATGTGGGCTTTGGGACACTTTCTGAATGTGTTTTCCAGGTGGGTCCCAGTGTCTCAGACGGATCAGACTGTGTTTACATCAATGTTCATTTCCTGTGCGTCAGATACCCTCCCTGCTTTAGTCCTGCTTTAGTCCTGCTTTAGTCCTGCTTTAGTCCTGCTTTAGACCTGCTTTAGACCTGCTTTAGTCCTGCTTTAGTCCTGCTTTAGTCCTGCTTTAGTCCTGCATTAGTCCTGCTTTAGTCCTGCTTTAGTCCTGCTTTAGACCTGCTTTAGACCTGCTTTAGTCCTGCTTTAGACCTGCTTTAGACCTGCTTTAGTCCTGCTTTAGTCCTGCTTTAGTCCTGCTTTAGACCTGCTTTAGACCTGCTTTAGACCTGCTTTAGACCTGCTTTAGTCCTGCTTTAGTCCTGCTTTAGACCTGCTTTAGACCTGCTTTAGACCTGCTTTAGACCTGCTTTAGTCCTGCTTTAGTCCTGCTTTAGTCCTGCTTTAGACCTGTTTTAGACCTGCTTTAGACCTGCTTTAGACCTGCTTTAGACCTGTTTTAGACCTGCTTTAGACCTGCTTTAGACGTGCTTTAGTCCTGCTTTAGACATGTTTTAGACCTGCTTTAGACCTGCTTTAGACCTGTTTTAGACCTGTTTTAGACCTGCTTTAGACCTGCTTTAGACCTGTTTTAGACTTGCTTTAGACCTGCTTTAGACCTGTTTTAGACCTGTTTTAGACCTGTTTTAGACCTGCTTTAGTCCTGCTTTCGATCTGCTTTGTACCTGCTTTAGACGTACTTTAGACCTGCTTTAGACCTGCTTTAGACTTGCTTTAGACTTGCTTTAGACCTGCTTTATACCTGGTTTAGACCTGCTTTAGACCTGTTTTAGTCCTGCTTTAGTCCTGCTTTAGACCTTCTTTAGACCTGCTTTAGACCTGCTTTAGTCCTGCTTTAGACCTGCTTTAGACCTGCTTTAGTCCTGCTTTAGTCCTGCTTTAGACCTTCTTTAGACTTGCTTAAGACCTGCTTTAGACCTGTTTTAGACCTGCTTTAGACCTGCTTTAGACCTGCTTTAGACCTGCTTTAGACCTGCTTTAGTCCTGCTTTAGTCCTGCTTTAGACCTACTTTGGACCTGCTTTAGACCTGCTTTAGACCTGCTTTAGACCTGCTTTAGACCTGCTTTAGTCCTGCTTTAGTCCTGCTTTAGACCTACTTTGGACCTGCTTTAGACCTGCTTTAGACATGCTTTAGACCTGCTTTAGTCCTGCTTTCGATCTGCTTTGGACCTGCTTTGGACCTGGTTCAGACCTGGTTCAGACCTGGTTCAGACCTGGGTAAATTCCTTCCGGTTCACGTGGGCTGGATTACAGTGCGGCTCAGATCAAAGACTCAAATGTAACTGAACCTGGTCCAGTTTTAGAGTCGCAGGACTGAACCAGGTCTGTACCAGGTCTAAAACAGGACTAAAGCAAGTCTAAAGCAGGTCTACAGCAGGTCTTATGCAGGTCTGAAGCAAGTCTAAAGCAGATCTAAAGCAAGTCTAAAACAGGTCTAATGCAGGTCTAAAGTAGGTCTACAGCAGGTCTACAGCAGTTCTAATGCAGGTCTAAAGTAGGTCTAAAGCAGGTCTAAAGTAAGTCTAAAACAGGTCTAATGCAGTTCTAAAGTAGGTCTAAAACAGGTCTAAAGCAGGACTAAAGCAGGTCTAAATCAGGTCTAAAGCAGGACTCATCTTTTCCACAAAATACAAACATAAATGTCTGAAATGTCAGAGTTTTACAACAGAACAGAGGAAGACCTTATAAAACCTTTACAACAGCGTGGACTTGGTCTGGACCCGGTCTGGACCTTGACTTGTTATTGGTTCCTGAGACTCAGACCTTTTTTGCTATTTTTTTTAATTTATTTTGCATTTTTCAGAGACTGAGCTGTGTTTCTCTCACTCTCTGATAAAGCCGTCGCCTGCAGGGGGTGCTGACAGACCACATGTTTTTAGTGGTGGAGGAAACTGGAGCTGACACAGGGAGAACATGCAAACTCCACACAGAGCCCCTTTTTGCTGTGAGGCACAAGCACAAACTACTGTGCCATGCGTGGGATTGGCTCTGAAGGGGACAAGGCCATTTCTGGAGTTTGCATGTTCTCCCTGTGTCTGTCTGTGTGTGTATGTGTGTCTGTGCGTCTGTATGTGTGTGTGTGTGTGTGTGTGTGTTTGTGTAGGTGTGCGTTTCTGTGTGTCTGTCTGTTTTTGTGTGTCTGTGTGTGTCTTTCTGTGTTTCTGTTTGTATGTTTCTGTGTATGTGTGTGTCTGTGCGTGTGTATGTGTGTGCGTGTGTGTGTGTGTGTAGCATCAGTGACACAATCTTGAAAATCTCTACTCTACTGTATTCTACTGTTTTGGCTGCACACCTGGAGTGCGGCACTGTACAGTCTAATCACATTTGAAGCATGAATTCAGACCGGACCAAAAGAGACGCCATGACACCACACTGGCTCCTCCCCCTCTGCACTGACTCCTCCTCCTCTGCCCTGACTCTTCCCCCTCTCCCCTGACTCCTCTCCCTCTCCACTGAACCCTCTCCTCCTGCCCTGACTCATCTCCCTCTGCCCTGACTCCTCCCCCTCTGCACTGACTCCTCCTCCTCTGCTCTGACTCCTCCTCCTCTGCTCTGACTCCTCCCACTCTGCCCTGACTCCTCCCCCTCTGCACCTGCGCCTGAGCTCCTCACACCTCATCGTCACTGCTGCATTTAAAGTCCTATATGTCGCTTTTCTTCATGGTTCACAGTCCACCCTCAGCATGTGTGAGAATAACTATACATAGATACACATAGACTGAAAATATTAATGGACGTAGTCATGCCTATCTCCGTCGTTGAAATTAATGTGCCACCACTTTCTATGGGCACTTTGAAAATGGCCGCGGGGGCTGGAAAATGTATTTGAGGGTCCTAAAAATATACTCCCCTCAACATTGACACACACCTGGAACGTAGCGTTGGGCCAAGAGTGACTTTTGGACCATCCTGTAAAGCCGTTTTTGAGACGTAAGAAGACGCCATCCAAAATAATTGATTAAATCTCTTTCTGGGTCCACCGCCCAGAGTGGTATTGGATGATCTTTGAGCAACGTCGTTTTCCGTGCCAGTCACGAGACTGGGTGGTGCTCGACCAGGTCTGACCTCAGCTTTCAATATGGACAAAAGAAATTGGTACAACCTTTTTAGAAACAAAATATTCACTTAGGCCTTTCAGTTTTTATTACTGTAATTAAGAATAAATGTCTCCCACGAGATTAGGGCCAAGACAGAGGCGAGTCTGACCAACGTTTGTCTCATATGGGCTTTGAATGTGTTCAGTTCGGTCTCATATACTTATTTTTAGCATATCTGTATATCTCCTCTGATCTTCTTGCGTTAAAATGCTTATATACTGTGAATTTCGCCCACTAACTCTTTTAAAAGTACTTGTAACATCCATGCTTCAGTATGCTCCGCTCTATCTCCTTGCCACCGTGCGAGTGGTGCGTGCGCACTCGGATGTAAACAATGATCCTCCTGTTGCAAGTATGTCAGCGCACGTGCTCATGGACCTTTTTGAGCCGGGACCCGCCTCCATGGGTGATACACCATGCAAATCTCAAAACATAGAAATTACTGTATAGCCATTTCTTGCATAGAGGGGAAGACACCTCATGTGACACGCGTGGATCTGTGCTCCTTCCCTTATGAGCCACGTATCAGACATTTCCTGTGGGAGGGGCTACTTATCGCCATTTTGAAAAGGTTTCGCGGAAAAACCAAGGCTGTGGCACCTCTAAGGTAGTAGCCGTCTTCCTGTGGACTCACCACGTGCAGGGGATCAGCGAGGGACTGGTGCTACGAGCACTGGGTGGCAGCTCTCCTTGTCACCCCCCCGACCCAGAAATGGACTAATAAAGGGGAAGAAAATGAATTTATTTTTTTATTTTTTTATTGTGTTTATTTGAACATCGAATACATTTATAAGAAAAAAGACAGTAAGAACAAAAACAAAGAAAATAAAGAAAACTTCACGTTCAAAAGGAGTTGGAAGAAGCCAAAGCTTATTAAATCCTACCCCTAAAACAATGAATGAATGATCACACATTTCAAGGAGGAAATAGGCATCACTACGTACATTAATAATTACAGTTTATGGTGTCTCCGTGGTTATCATTTGCATTATGCTTTGCTATCGTTTGCTTTCGGTTTGACTTTATTCTTTTTATCTGTGTGTTTCAGGTCCTCCAGTGAGTACTGCCCCCTACTGCTGGGATACACCGAGACACACACACACACAGACACACACACATAGAGTTACATGAAACAGTGTGGATATGGGTTTCTCTGATCCTCGCATCAAACACAGCTGCTTTCCAAATCGTGTTGTCTTAGCATGTTTCTTTAGATTGTTTTTTTTTTGCTTGTTTCTTTATCATGTTTTTTTGCCCTATTTCCTTAGTGTGTTTCTTTAGCATGTTTTGCATGATTAATGGTTTAGCATTTAGCATGATTAGCACCATCAGCATGTTTAGCATGATTAACATAAGCATCCATCCATCTATCCATCTTCTTTCCCATAATCCATTTCTGGGTCAGGGGGGTGGCAGTCAGAGCTGCACCCAGTACACAGAGCACCAGCCCCTCACTGATCCTCCTGCAGGTGCTGAGTCCACAGGAGCCCTGATCTTTCAGCGGGGGCTTCAGGCAAAGTGGGATTAAGTGTCTTGCCCAATGACACAACTTGAACCCACGACCTTCAGGCCCAAAGGCCAACGCTCTACCAACTGAGCCACTTTCGCCCCCATATAAGCATTATTGGTATATTTATCATAATTAGCATGTTAAGCATGATTAGCGTGTTTTTCATATTTGGCATATTTAGCACATTATCATATTTAGCATTATCAGCATGATTAGCATTTTTACCATACTAGCATTTGGTATGAATAGCACACTTGGCATTATTGGCATTTCTAGCATGATTAGCATGCGTAGCATATTTATAATGTTTAATATATTTAGCATGATAACCATGTTTATCACATTTTGCATGATTAGCATGTGTAGCATGTTAAGCATATTTAGCATGACTAGCTTCCTTTCATGTCTCTCCTCTGCTTTCAGGGCCCCCCGGGGAGAACAGGTTTTCCGGTAACGTTTGAGTTGCTAACACTAATATGAGCTTAAGGATTCTGCTGTGAACAGATCATGTGACATCACCACGTTCCTATAGTTTCACATTTTCTATAGAAATTCTTTTGACATCACTTCCTGTCCCTGTGTTTTGTTCGTGACCAGATCCAACTTTTCCTGAAACTAAAATCTCTGATTTTATCTGATCCAAACCACTATTATCCCTATTGTAACTGTAGTCACTATGGTAACTATGATCACTATAGTAACTGTAGTCACTATGGTAACTATAATCACTATAGTAACTGTAGTCACTATGGTAACTATGATCACTATAGTAACTGTAGTCACTATGGTAACTATAATCACTATTGTAACTGTAGTCACTATGGTAACTATGATCACTATAGTAACTGTAGTCACTATGGTAACTATAATCACTATAGTAACTGTAGTCACTATGGTAACTATGATCACTATAGTAACTGTGGTCACTATGGTAATTATGATCATTATAGAAACTGCGGTCACTATAGTAACTGTGGTAACTATGATAACTGTGGTCACTATGATTACTGTGGTCACTATGGTAACTATGATCACTATAGTAACTGTGGTAACTATGATAACTGTGGTCACTATGATAACTGTGGTCACTATGGTAACTATGATCACAATAGTGACTGTGGTCACTATGGTAACTATGATCACAATAGTGACTGTGGTCACTATGGTAACTGTGGTCACTATAATCACAATAGTGACTCTGGTCACTATGGTAACTGTGGTCACTATGGTACCATAGGTCAAGAGGTGTTCTGCTGATTGTGTCAGATGCCCCTCTGATGGTGTTTTTCTGTGTGTCCACAGGGGGCGCCTGGAGAACCAGGCCTGTCAATCATCGGCCCCCGAGGGCCCCCAGTGAGTGTCCATACATCGCTCTGACCCATATCCCCTGACCTCTGACCCTTCACCCTTGACCTCTGACCTCTTTCTGTCTGTGTTCTTACCCTGCTCCTGTCCACAGGGCCAGCCTGGGACCAGAGGATTCCCCGGGTTTCCAGTAAGTCCACACAAACCCTGACCCTGACCTCTGAACCCTGACCTCTGAACCCTGACCTCTGATCAAAGATAAGAAACTGATGTCTGTTTGTCCTCAGGGTCCTATCGGACTGGATGGGAAAGTGGTGAGTGCCTGGGTCTGGTCTGGATCTTGATCTTATTCTTTTTTGTTTTATTTCTATTTGTGTTTTTGTTTATTTTTCAGGGTCAGAGTGGAGCCAAAGGAGACTCGGTAAATCCCAAAAAATTAAGACTAAAGCAGGTTTAAAGCAGGACTAAAGCAGGACTTTAGCAGGTCTATAGCAGGACTAAAGACGTTTCTCTGTTTTTAAACCGACATCAAAACAACAGGTCCAGGTCTTGGACTCTGATGATGTTGTTCTAAATGATTTACTGTCGTGTTACAGGGACAACGAGGATCCAAGGGCGCTCCGGTTAGTGACACACATACACACACATGGACACACAGACACACAAACACACACACGCACGCAAACACACACACACACACACACCCACACAGCACACACACACACACCTACTTATAATGTTTTCATGTTGCAGGGAGAACCAGGGCCCAAAGGAGAAAAGGTGAATTTAGCTCTTTGTCAGACAAACCACAGCTGTTACTGCTAATGCTAACATGGTGCCAACATGATGCTTATGTCAGGCTAAAATTAAATTAATGTGAAACTAACATGTGGCTAAATCTATGCTAATAAGATGCTAACATGATGCAAAAATGATGCTAATTTAGCTAAATAATGCTAATGGGGTGCTAACTTGTGGCTAAAAGTATGCTAACATGACAATAAGCTAACACATGTTCCATAAGTGGTAAATGTGGGTTTGTTTTCAGGGCGTCTGTGGAGACTTTCCTCATCGGGTAAGACCCAAAGATCTGAATTCAACACACAAGGGTCAGGGTTTCCTCTGCTGGTCAGGACTCAAATTGAAGAGACCGGGATGGAGACTTATGAGGACTGGGGGATGGAGACTTATGAGGACTGAGGGATGGAGACTTATGAGGACTGAGGGATGGAGACTTATGAGGACTGGGGGATGGAGACTTATGAGGACTGAGGGATGGAGACTTATGAGGACTGGGGGATGGAGACTTACAAGGACTGGGGGATGGAGACTTATGAGGACTGAGGGATGGAGACTTATTAGCACTGAGGGATGGAGACTTATGAGCACTGAGGGATGGAGACTTATGAGGACTGAGGGATGGAGACTTATTAGCACTGAGGGATGGAGACTTATGAGCACTGACGGATGGAGACTTATGAGGACTGAGGGATGGAGACTTATGAGCACTGAGGGATGGAGACTTTTGAGGACTGAGGGATGGAGACTTATGAGGACTGAGGGATGGAGACTTACAAGGACTGGGGGATGGAGAGTTATGAGGACTGGGGGATGGAGACTTACAAGGACTGGGGGATGGAGACTTATGAGGACTGGGGGATGGAGACTTATGAGGACTGAGGGATGGAGACTTACAAGGACTGGGGGATGGAGACTTATGAGGACTGGGGGATGGAGGACTTACAAGGACTGGGGGATGGAGACTTATGAGGACTGAGGGATGGAGACTTATTAGCACTGAGGGATGGAGACTTATGAGCACTGAGGGATGGAGACTTATGAGGACTGAGGGATGGAGACTTATTAGCACTGAGGGATGGAGACTTATGAGCACTGACGGATGGAGACTTATGAGGACTGAGGGATGGAGACTTATGAGCACTGAGGGATGGAGACTTTTGAGGACTGAGGGATGGAGACTTATGAGGACTGAGGGATGGAGACTTACAAGGACTGGGGGATGGAGAGTTATGAGGACTGGGGGATGGAGACTTACAAGGACTGGGGGATGGAGACTTATGAGGACTGAGGGATGGAGACTTATTAGCACTGAGGGATGGAGACTTATGAGCACTGAGGGATGGAGACTTATGAGGACTGAGGGATGGAGACTTATTAGCACTGAGGGATGGAGACTTATGAGCACTGACGGATGGAGACTTATGAGGACTGAGGGATGGAGACTTATGAGCACTGAGGGATGGAGACTTTTGAGGACTGAGGGATGGAGACTTATGAGGACTGAGGGATGGAGACTTACAAGGACTGGGGGATGGAGACTTATGAGGACTGGGGGATGGAGACTTACAAGGACTGGGGGATGGAGACTTATGAGGACTGAGGGATGGAGACTTATTAGCACTGAGGGATGGAGACTTATGAGCACTGAGGGATGGAGACTTATGAGGACTGAGGGATGGAGACTTATTAGCACTGAGGGATGGAGACTTATTAGCACTGAGGGATGGAGACTTATGAGGACTGGGGGATGGTGACTTATGAGGACTGAGGGATGGAGACTTATTAGCACTGAGGGATGGAGACTTATGAGCACTGAGGGATGGAGACTTATGATGACTGAGGGATGGAGACTTATGAGGACTGAGGGATGGAGACTTATGAGGACTGAGGGATGGAGACTTATGAGGACTGAGGGATGGAGACTTATGAGGACTGAGGGATGGAGACTTATGAGGACTGGGGGATGGAGACTTATGAGGACTGAGGGATGGAGACTTACAAGGACTGGGGGATGGAGACTTATGAGGACTGGGGGATGGAGACTTACAAGGACTGGGGGATGGAGACTTATGAGGACTGAGGGATGGAGACTTATTAGCACTGAGGGATGGAGACTTATGAGCACTGAGGGATGGAGACTTATGAGGACTGAGGGATGGAGACTTATTAGCACTGAGGGATGGAGACTTATGAGCACTGACGGATGGAGACTTATGAGGACTGAGGGATGGAGACTTATGAGCACTGAGGGATGGAGACTTTTGAGGACTGAGGGATGGAGACTTATGAGGACTGAGGGATGGAGACTTACAAGGACTGGGGGATGGAGACTTATGAGGACTGGGGGATGGAGACTTACAAGGACTGGGGGATGGAGACTTATGAGGACTGAGGGATGGAGACTTATTAGTACTGAGGGATGGAGACTTATGAGCACTGAGGGATGGAGACTTATGAGGACTGAGGGATGGAGACTTATTAGCACTGAGGGATGGAGACTTATTAGCACTGAGGGATGGAGACTTATGAGGACTGGGGGATGGAGACTTATGAGGACTGAGGGATGGAGACTTATTAGCACTGAGGGATGGAGACTTATGAGCACTGAGGGATGGAGACTTATGAGGACTGAGGGATGGACACCTCTGAGAGCTGTGTGTAAAGTCCACGTTGGAGCTGTTGTTGTGGAGCTGGCTGAAATGCGCTATATAAATAAAGATGGCTGCGTCCTGGCCCACCTCAGCCTCAGTCCTCTTCATAACGAGCTTCTGCCTTCAGGGCCTGTTCGTGAACCGCGGCACCGTGAAAACGCTGGCCGCGCTCCGCTCCAGTGCAGCTCTGACTCTGAAGGTTTGTGAGAGAGAATAACAGGGGGCGCCCTGAGCTCAGCCAATCAGAGCAGAGGGTTTTACCCCCCTCCCGCCTCCCAGGTTCAGTGATACATGCGGTAGATCTTTCTCCATTTCACTAAACGACTGCTGATCGCTCACTTGATCTGAGTGGTCTTTCACAGGAGGAACTGGAAACAGGAACCAATTAAATGGAGCAAAAATACTTCTTTGGGTCGTCCCAGTGGATGGGGTCAAGAGCTGAGGCCCCACGGAAGCTCTGATACCATCATCAAAGATAAAGATGTTTCTCTAACAGATTTAGCTGAGGACTGAGGCTGTAAAACTAGGACTGAGGCTGTAGACCCAAGACTGAGGCTGTAGACCCAGGAGAGAGTCTGTAGACCTAGAACTGGGGCTGTAGATCCAGGACTGAGTCTGTAGGTCTAGGAATGAGGACCCAGAGTTTAACTGTTCGTATGCTGTTGTAGAAGCGGAGGATTGTACAGCCGTGTGCCGCTCGCCTCACAGCAGTAAGTGCCAAAAGTACTTTCCTCTCTGCAGTACTCTCTTCAGTACTCTCTTCATTACTCTGCAGTACTCCCTGCAGTACTTTCTTCAGTACTCTTTACTATGATATTTCAGTCGCTGACCTGAGAGGCGGCCATTTTGTGCCTGAAGTCAAAGCTGAAATGTTTATGGTGCTGTTGCCATGATTTCTCCTGTCTCTATGGCGCCCCCTGCTGTCCGCACTGCTCTCACATGCTAAAATGCTAACGTCAGGTTTGTCAGAGCACACTCCTTGCATTGGGGGCAGCAACATCATATTTGACTAAAAAGTTAACTCTAGGACCATAGACCGATTGGACTGACCTGTAACCCTGATTAGAGATGACCCAGAGGGCTCATGAGGATTAGAGCTGACTCAGAGGGCTCATGAGGATTAGAGCTGACCCAGGCTCATGAGGATTAGAGCTGACCCAGAGGGCTCATGAGGATTAGAGCTGACCCAGAGGGCTCATGAGGATTAGAGCTGACTCATCAGGATTAGAGCTGACTCAGTTGCACAGTCTTCTCTCATTTCGTGTTTCCACTTCCTGTTTCCACTTCTTGCTTCCTGTTTCCTGTTTCCACTTCCTGTCTCCTGTGGCTCTGTGGCGCCCCCTATGGTGGCAGATGTTGCCTATCACTGTCCGCAACTTACCGTCTATAAACCCACTCATACTGAGGAGACTCAAGGTACTTCAGCCTACCGCAAGTACTACTACCACTACTGCAAGAACTGCTACTACTACAAGTACTACTACCACTGCAAGTACCACTACTACTACTGCAAGTACCACTACCACATATACTACTACTACTACTGCAAGTACTACTACTACCACTGCAAGTACCACTACTACTACTGCAAGTACCACTACCACATATACTACTACTGCAAGTACCACTACTACTACTGCAAGTACCACTACTACTGCAAGTACTATTACTACCGCAAGTACTACTAATACCGCAAGTACTACTAATACCGCAAGTACTACTACTACTGCACATACTACTACTACTGCACGCACTACTACCGCAAGTACTACGACTACAAAGATTACTACTACTACTGCAAGCACTACTTCTGCCACAAGTACTATTACTACTGCAATACTACTCCTACTTTCAGATCCTGATGTTCTGTCTCTTTCAGCAGGGTGAGACTGGAGTCCAGGGCCCCCCCGGCCCCCCTGGTCCTCCAGGGCCCCCAGGCAGCTCTGGAGCCAGTGGCCCCCCAGTAAGACGCACTTTCCACATCTACAACAGTACTCTGTACCTGTACTGTACGCTGTACTCTGTACCTGTACTCTGTATCTGTACACTGTACCTTTAAGCTGTACTCTGTACCTTTACTCTGTACTCAGTACCTGCACTCTGTTTCAGGGCAAGCCTGGAGAACCAGGAAAACCAGGGAAAGAACTGAAGGTGAGAACTGTAAGGAGTGAAGTGTTCACCAGAGAGAGACACACACACACAGACACACAAAGACACACACACACAACCAAACAGCGGTTTTGTCCTTCACCCATCTTAGAATGTGTGTGTGCGTGTGCATGTGTGTGCGTGTGCGTGCGTGTGTGTGTGTGAATGGTTAGTGGAGCTGGCAGGGGCCAGGGCAGCCACCATATTCGTCGTTAATTAATAAAACTGTCCATTGAAGAGCTGTAGAAAACTGTTATTATTAACTTACATTTGACATTTATGTGTTCTCCTCCTCTCTCCTCTCCCCCCTCTCTTTCCTCCCCTCTCTCCTCTCCTCCCTCTCTTCTCCTTCTCAGCTCCTGGCCGGTCTAAAGGTAGCTTTTATCCCTTGTGTCAGAATCATGAGTTTACTATTTGTAATACACACACACACACAGACACATGAACACACACAAACACATCAAAGAAGTACACATAAACACACACACAAACACACACACATAGAGACACACAAACACACGTACACATGCACGCACAAACCCACACACAGACGCACATACAAACACACACACTGTAATGGTAATTTGTGTTTACAGGGCGACAGAGGAGAAGCCGGTCCCCAAGTGAGTACAGCGCTCTCTGCAGGACAACTGTAGTATTACAGGTTTAAACAGACAATAAAGCTGTTGTCTGAAACTATTTGGAGATCAGAAACATTTACACCTGAGTCAAATGACGATATATTGTTTGTGTTTTCAGGGAGTGAAAGGAGAGAGCGGAGCAAAGGTGAGAACCTGGACCAGAGAGAGACCAGAGAGAGAAACCAGAGAGAGACCAGAAAGGGACCAGAGAGAAAGACCAGAGAGAGACCAGTGAGAGATACCAGAGAAAGAGATTAGAGAGAGACAAGAGAGAGAGAGACCAGAGGAAGAGATCAGAGAGAAAGAGAGATTAGAGAAAAACCAGAGAGACCGGTGAGAGACCAGAGATAAACCGGAGAGCCAGAGAGAGAGACCGGTGAGAGACCAGAGGGAGAACAGAGAGAGACCAGAAGACCAGAGAAAGAGGTACCACAGAGAGAAAACAGAGAGACCAGAGAACGACCAGAGATTGAACAGAGAGAGACCAGAGACCAGTTTTACTAACTGTGGTTTGGTGCAGGGTCAGGTCGGGGTTCCGGGCTCCCCAGGGATCCCCGGAAAACGGGGATACAGGGTAAAGTGTGTGTGTGTGTGTGCGTGCGTGTGTGTGTGTGTGTGTGTGTGTGTGTGTGTGTGCGTTTGTGTATTTGCGTGTCATAGACTGTATTTAGATGGACAGTGCAAACCCGCTAGCTCAATGATGCCCTGTAGGGAAGTGCTCAGGGGGAAGTTTGGCTCCTCTCTCTGGTTACTATTGACTTATATGTACAAGTAAACTCTAGCTCAGTTTGTGTCACACTCACCATTTTAAAACTATAAATGTTGCAGATTAAAGCAATCAATCAACATTTATTTGTAAAACACGGACATAGAATGTGCTACACAAACATTTAAAACTCAAAAGGCTGGACTTGAGTCTATCTCGGGTAGCTGCCTGTCTCACACCTTCAGGAAGATCTTACATGGTGTAGATAAATCTGATGATCCTCTAAACACAAACTCAGTCCGATGTGTGACACACTTGAGTCTTGGTCATCATCACCTAAATGTGAAAAACATGTGTTGTTAGCTTGTTAATGCTAACTTTTTGTTAGCATGTTGTTAACATGTTGTTAGCATTGCTTATGTTGCTTATGTGCTAACGTGTTGTTAGCATATTGCTAATGTGTTGTCAGCCTGGTGCTAACGTGTTTGTTAGCCGTTGCTAGCTTGTTGTTGGCCTTTTGCTGGTATATGTTAGCCTCTTGCTAACGTGTGGTTTTTGGTCCAGGGGGAAAAAGGCGATGCGGGTTCTGCATCGCTCAAAGGAGAACCAGGAGAACCTGGAACCAAGGTGAGAGAAGGTGGATCATCTCTGCATCAAAGAAGTGCTCACTCACGCACATGTGTTTCAGGGAGAAGCTGGAGCTCAGGGGCTGCCAGGACCCAGGGTACGACCTCCTCCCCCACCATCTCACCTCCCCCTTACCTCTTTCCTTCCTCCCCCTCCCTTGCCATCTCCCCCTCCCTCACCTCACCTCTCCCTCACCTCTCCCTAACTTCTCCTCGCCGCCTCCTCACCTCCCCGTCACCTCTGTTGTTTATTTTGTTTATGTTGTTGTTGTTTGTATTGTTGTTGTTTACGTTGTTGTTTGTGCTGTTGTTGTTGTTTATGTTGTTGTTGTTGCTCAGGGTCCTCCAGGAGAGCCGGGCCGAGCAGACGTCCTCAATGAGAACGTGAGAAACATATCAGCAGCAAAACGCACTACACAACACAAAAATACACACAATATACTACACGCAATACACACACTACACAATCTACAGTACACGGTACACAATCTACACACACTACACGCTACACAATCTACACTTAATACACATTACACATCACACAATACACAATATACACTACACGATGCACACTACACACACTAAACAATACACAATACACACAATACACAATACACACTCTACAAATCACTTTTTGTGGACAAAATACTGCATGAGCAAAGTACAACAGCGTGAGCAAAGTACAAGAGCGTGAGCAGAGTACAACAGCGTGAGCAGAGTACAACAGCGTGAGCAGAGTACAACAGCGTGAGCAGAGTACAACAGCGTGAGCAGAGTACAACAGCGTGAGCAGAGTACAACAGCGTGAGCAGAGTACAACAGCGTGAGCAGAGTACAACAGCGTGAGCAGAGTACAACAGCGTGAGCAGAGTACAACAGCGTGAGCAGAGTACAACAGCGTGAGCAGAGTACAACAGCGTGAGCAAAGTACAAAAGCGTGAGCAGAGTACAACAGCGTGAGCAGAGTACAACAGCGTGAGCAGAGTACAACAGCGTGAGCAGAGTACAACAGCGTGAGCAGAGTACAACAGCGTGAGCAGAGTACAACAGCGTGAGCAGAGTACAACAGCGTGAGCAAAGTACAACAGCGTGAGCAAAGTACAAAAGCGTGAGCAGAGTACAACAGCGTGAGCAGAGTACAACAGCGTGAGCAGAGTACAACAGCGTGAGCAGAGTACAACAGCGTGAGCAGAGTACAACAGCGTGAGCAGAGTACAACAGCGTGAGCAGAGTACAACAGCGTGAGCAAAGTACAATAGCGTGAGCAGAGTACAACAGCGTGAGCAAAGTACAACAGCGTGAGCAGAGTACAAGAGCGTGAGCAGAGTACAACAGCGTGAGCAGAGTACAACAGCGTGAGCAGAGTACAACAGCGTGAGCAGAGTACAACAGCGTGAGCAGAGTACAACAGCGTGAGCAGAGTACAACAGCGTGAGCAGAGTACAACAGCGTGAGCAAAGTACAACAGCGTGAGCAGAGTACAAGAGCGTGAGCAGAGTACAAGAGCGTGAGCAGAGTACAAGAGCGTGAGCAGAGTACAAGAGCGTGAGCAGAGTACAACAGCGTGAGCAGAGTACAACAGCGTGAGCAGAGTACAACAGCGTGAGCAGAGTACAACAGCGTGAGCAGAGTACAACAGCGTGAGCAGAGTACAACAGCGTGAGCAAAGTACAAAAGCGTGAGCAGAGTACAACAGCGTGAGCAGAGTACAACAGCGTGAGCAGAGTACAACAGCGTGAGCAGAGTACAACAGCGTGAGCAGAGTACAACAGCGTGAGCAGAGTACAACAGCGTGAGCAGAGTACAACAGCGTGAGCAGAGTACAACAGCGTGAGCAAAGTACAAAAGCGTGAGCAGAGTACAACAGCGTGAGCAGAGTACAACAGCGTGAGCAGAGTACAACAGCGTGAGCAGAGTACAACAGCGTGAGCAGAGTACAACAGCGTGAGCAGAGTACAACAGCGTGAGCAGAGTACAACAGCGTGAGCAGAGTACAACAGCGTGAGCAAAGTACAATAGCGTGAGCAGAGTACAACAGCGTGAGCAAAGTACAACAGCGTGAGCAGAGTACAAGAGCGTGAGCAGAGTACAAGAGCGTGAGCAGAGTACAACAGCGTGAGCAGAGTACAACAGCGTGAGCAGAGTACAACAGCGTGAGCAGAGTACAACAGCGTGAGCAGAGTACAACAGCGTGAGCAGAGTACAACAGCGTGAGCAAAGTACAACAGCGTGAGCAGAGTACAAGAGCGTGAGCAGAGTACAAGAGCGTGAGCAGAGTACAAGAGCGTGAGCAGAGTACAACAGCGTGAGCAGAGTACAACAGCGTGAGCAGAGTACAACAGCGTGAGCAGAGTACAACAGCGTGAGCAGAGTACAAGAGCGTGAGCAGAGTACAAGAGCGTGAGCAAAGTACAACAGCGTGAGCAAAGTACAACAGCGTGAGCAGAGTACAAGAGCGTGAGCAGAGTACAACAGCGTGAGCAGAGTACAACAGCGTGAGCAGAGTACAAGAGCGTGAGCAGAGTACAACAGCGTGAGCAGAGTACAACAGCGTGAGCAGAGTACAAGAGCGTGAGCAGAGTACAACAGCGTGAGCAAAGTACAACAGCGTGAGCAGAGTACAAGAGCGTGAGCAGAGTAGTGTGAGCAGTTTCTGAGATCCATGAGATTCATCTGTTTGTTGATGTGTCCACAGGACATCAGGAACATCCCTCTGACCGGACCTCCAGGTCTGCCAGGGCCTCCAGGTCTGCCAGGACTAAAGGTGAGGGGCGAGGAGGGGGAGGGGTGAGGAGGGGGAGATTGTGATGTCACTGTGTGTTTCCTCAGGGGGAGGTGGGCCTTCCTGGACCTCCAGGCTTTGACGGAGAAAAGGTATGTGCACCTTTTTACCAGGTCTTAAACATCTGACACAGAGACCATGTGGACACCAAGCCCCAGCGATCTAAGATGGCGCCCTATTCAAATCAGTGGCTTGTGCTCAGTAGTACATGGGACAGCCATGGGGACCGAAATATTAGCAGAACTCACCCATATTTGGACATCGTCTCGTCCTCCCGATTCTGCACAGTGGACGAGATCCCATGATGCTTTGTGCCAAATACTCGTGTGTGGCTCTCATGCACAGAGGGGCTTGGCTGCGCTCTGACCAATCAGGTGCTGCTGATCAGAGCAGAGCTAGAGCGGGAATAAAGCAAGCAGAGTTTTTGGCACTAAAGTGTGGATTACATAGGACTCCACAAAAAATCCCACCTTTGAACAGTGTAGGTTCTCTGTCAGCTGAGGTCAAGCTGTTTTAGTTTATATTGAGTTCTATGGGCAAAACCTCTGGGTGAATTAAGTCTTGTTTAGTCTGCAGAAGCGCTAGTTGTTGCTCCAAGACAGTACTCTCATTACTCAGCACCTTGGTGACCTAAGCAGCTCAGTAAAAATGTAGTCTGAGGAACCTTGGAGTTGGAGTCACTTTGATGAAGGGATGTCCCCAGAACGACACACCAAACAGCTGATTGAAAATTGTTACATCCACTTTAGCAACATTTCCAAGCTCAGACATATGGCCTGCTAATTTTTGTGTATTATTACTGTATTTTTTCAAATGTGAAGCGCTTTTGTCAGGAATGAACCAGACAGAGACAGATCGTGGTGCGCCAAGCTCTGGAAGTTTATTAAGCTTTCTCTCAAGTTCCACTGGTTTCTGTTGCTTCTTTCTCTCAGACCAAAATGGAGTCAGTACATGTTATATATAGTCATTGTTACGTCACACATCGAAAGACATACGTGTCACACAGAGACAGTCACATCATAGTCATAACATGGATACACAATCAGAGTCTGCGTAGTCTTTTTATTTATTTTTATTTTTTTAATTTTTTTTTCTGAGTGTTAACTCTGTTAACTATGTTTTGAAATAGGTTTGATCAATGTATTGGTTTTAATTGGTAAAAAGGAAAGAATGGGGGCGAGAATAGGAAAAGGCTGAATTTAATGCTCTGGGTCGTAAATCCACTTTTCATTAGAACTTTTAGCAAGCGCCAGGGAGGCCCTTCAAGGAACTTCCATCATTGAATATTTTGTTTAATTCAGAGTCCGCATTAGGCAAGGAATTAGATAGATACTGCCTTTTAATTTGTAATCTGGTTTTATATTCCATATGAATTTGAAAATTTTCTTTCTAAGTGTGTGGAAGAACTTAATGCTAGGTAAGAAGTAAGCAGTATAGGTGGACAAAGTGTGAATTACTAATGTTTTAATCAAACTTACTGGCCCTGGAATGGGCTAAAGTTCCCCCTCCGTGGTTGTTAAATGTTATTCTACCTGTTGCCAGCCGTCTCTCATATTTGTATTTAACAACTGCTTTGCAAGTCATCAAGGTAGATATCCCAAAGTTACAACGCCGCCATGTATCCATTTAACAGGAGAGCAAACAGTTAAAATGATTATTAGTGTTTATTTATATCCCAATTCTCAAATACAACATTTAGCAAAATTAGGTTTCAATCCAGATATTTTTTGAAAACTGGTTTTTAATTCCTTTATTAGTCTCCTTCCAAATGGATTGGTATTGGGTGTCGATAATAGGTTGCATCATCACATTACATTGTCAGTTTAATACGCTGTGGCCGTTTTGGAATAGACCGGTATATCTGATTGTTCCTAATTTTAAAATAGCTAGAATTTCCAATACATAAAATAAAGTGAGTAGGTGACAAAGGACACCCCTGGACGGACGCCTTGGTTAAAGAAATGTATCTGAGATTTGACCGGGGTATGAAGTACTCTACTAACCGGAGAATAAATAGCGTTCAAACCTCGGGATTTAAGTTTGTTCCAAAATTAAAATAAACAAGACATGGCTGTTTGAACTTCCATTGAACTTTGTCAATGGCCTTCAAATCAGCAATAAACAATAATCTGGGTTCCCTGATGTTTCTCATAAAATATATAGTTCAAGTATTGGTCTCAGTTGTCTCCATAAATCGTCCTTAATGAAACTGCTTGATTGTTATTTATAATACTACCAATTATTTTTTTTATTCTTATAGCAATACATTAGTAGAAAATACGAGTATCACAACAGAGCAGGGTCACTGGGACGCCAATTTATTTAAAATTTGGGATGCGTTTATATTTCCCATCAGGATTGTTTGTTTTAGAGTAAGTGAGATAACTCACCTCTCTGGGTTATTTTGTTAAAAGTACCGTTGAAATGAAAAATGTGAAAGATGCTAATAGGGTTTTTTATGGTTCTGAAAAAAAATCGTTAGACTTCTCATAGGATACGTCGATACCAGGAGATTTACGCAAGGAAAACGAATTGAATTGGCCAGCTCTGAAACTCCGGGTTTCTGTGTAGGTTCTCCTGCACAGCGTAATTTGCTGGGAAGTTAGAAAGCACAGAGACATTATTTAACGGAAAATATAGCTCTGTCCACATCTCTAAGGGCTCCAGTATTGCAATCATTCGTGCAATATAGAGCGGTAAATAGACAAATTCTTCGGTAGAATGGCGTGGGAATGTTGGGACTAAGTCATTATCTTTATATACAACTCATGATATTCTTTTGTGAACAAAGTTACGTGGGTTTAACCGTATAAACATGTGACAGTTTGTTAAATGTAATAGAAACATGTACGACTTCTCGCCCTTCCATCCAAGCAGCATGTGACCTAAAAATAACCTGTTTGCCCGTCATGATAAAGGACTCTCAATTGGTACCTTGGGTGTCTTAATTTATTAGTGCTGTGTCAGTTGTGGAACTTCGATCGATTTTGTTTTTTAACTCAGTTTATTTCCTCAATTAAGGTGTTCTTGTTCTCGTGTGTGGTGCTGTTGTGTCGATTTGCGCCCTTCTTAATCCATGTCATCGAATTGAACATTGTTTAGGGCTGCCATACATTTGGGGATTAGAGGATTGTTCAATTGTGTTCCAAAAAATTTCCGTAAAAAATCTCCTGGTAATTTCGAGGAAACTAATTAATCAATTAAAAGCGAGACATGGACTTTCCAGTAACCCCGGCCTCTGGATCATTGCGGATGTGTCCAAGCAGCAATGTGACAGACTATGGTTCAGATCTCAAGCAGATCAACACCACAATGGGTGGTGGGGTGAGGGGGGTGAGTTGTGTGTTGTACACACCACCAAAAAGGGGGGGGGGGGGGTGGGGGGGGGGGGGGGGGGGGGGGGGGGGGGGCGGGGTGGTGGGGGGGGGGGTGGGGGGGGGGGGGAGGGTTTAGTAAGGGGGACCACCAATACAATAGCAGTGTTTTTACTCGAGGAGACCTATGAGTTAGACTGAGAATTTTTGTCAATTCGTTAATTTCCGGCGGTGCACATCTGCGACAGGGTGTACCTAGAATCTTTAAGTTAACAAACGCCAGATTTCTACAAGATGCTAATGCTGCACAAGCTTTAAGTTGCCCTAAGTGCATGGGGATGATTATTATATTTAGGTAGACCTCTGCCATCCTTAATTTATAGTCCAAACTGTATTGAAATCCCCAGTATTAGAATTTGATTAGTTATTGTATGAGCTTAAATATGTAGTAAGTTCTAAAAATATTAATGGATTGTCCTCATTAGGAGCTTTAAGAGGTTGGGGTTAAAAGATTGGCAAGTTTTATTCATTATATCTATTACAATCCAGCTACCGTCCTTTTCGTTATACGGAGTTAGTGTATATCTACATTACATTAAGCAAAATTCATAACACCTCTACGGTTTTTAAACCCATGACTAAATTGAGAAGCCCCTCCCCTTCTGATCATCCATTGTAGTCTCATTTTCTGAGTTAGAAGTGATTTCCTGCATACAAGCATATTGAATGTCACGCTTTATCATGTTAAACCAAGT